GTGATCTTGCATTTTATCCCCTTATCTGTCCAATCTGTATGCAGAACATATCATAAGGAAAGACTAGATTCAGATGAAGAAGGATTAAAAATTGGTGGAAGAAATACCAATAATGTAAGAAACGCAGAAGTCTAGAGGTAAGGGAGGCATGTGTCCCATTGGCCATGTCTGACCCCATCAGGAATAGAACCAATTGGCACACCAGCCTAAGGTGGAACAAGACACTACAACCATATGCCCAGCAGGCTACGCAATTTGTAATCCACCAAAATGAATGCTGTCCACCAGCCATGAATAGTGGGGTTGGTAGATAGGTGATCCCTTATTCCTATTTAGGCAAATCCAAAAGATTTGTCCAGCCTCTGGTTTGACTCCTCAACTCTGGAGAGCTCAGTGGTTTAGGTCTTTGGCTGAGGAGCCAAAGGTTGGGAGTTTGATTCCCACACTGTGCCTGCTTGACGGGCTGGACTTGATGATCCAGAGGGCCCCTTCCCACTCTGCAGTTCTAAGATGATGATTATTAACTCACTTGTTCCTGAAGAATGAAATTATGAATGTTACTTAGATCTCCCGATGAAGAATGCTCAGGCTCAAAATGTGATGTCAAGATCCGATGGCCTTTTATTATTTATATATATTTATAACTTGAAAAGTCTTAATTTGAATCAGTCCTTTGTTTCTTTTTACTGCTAAAACATACAAGCAAACAAATGGAACAGCTGCAGGAAAGTAGGAGTTCATGTAAAAGCCTGGGGAAATGCAACAATAAAGAGCTACAGTTGAATGTTTTGTTGAGACTAGGAAAATATGTGGTCATTGAAGACTATAGCCTGGTGTTTTTAGCAGGCTAGAGAGCTGACTCAGAGAGGGCAATGGAAGGCATCAGGGCCTTGCCACCCTGTGTTTGACCCTTGGCACCCCAGCTTCCTCCCTCTTCCTGCCCAGACCCTCTTCTGCTTCCCAGAGGGAGGAGAATTCCAGCAACCCAAGTCTTGCGATTGGCCAGGAACGGCAAGCCCAGCCAGGAATAAAAGGTGACAGTGAGCATCCTGCCTGAACTGCCTGCCTGCTTGCCTCAGTATGAGCAGCCTGGCTTTGTACCGTGGCATCTACACGGAGGAGCGCTTCCAGCAGGTCTATGGGGCTCCGAAGCCAGACCCCAAGGGTAGCAACCTGGCCGGAATGCTGAAGGGAAAACTGAGCCGGAGCTGTCAGTGCTCCAGGGCAGCTGCCTTGCACTTGCTTCGAAGGCGGTTTCCCATTGCAAGCTGGCTGCCCAGGTACCAGACCAAGAAGTGGCTTTTGGGAGATATAGTGTCAGGACTGACGGTGGGCATTGTACACATCCCACAAGGTAGGTGTGTGTGTGTGTGTGTGTGTGTGTGTGTGTGTGTGAGAGAGAGAGAAGGGTTATTGCTGAACTGAATGCCAGCGGTGATCCCAGAAGATATATCACTCAACAGAAAGCTGAAGAAAAAAAAGTTAGTGAGGGAAGCCAGTTCTTTTTCTAGGCATTGTTGTTGCTGCGCAATCGACAGTGAAGACAGGGCAAAATGCAGTAATTAAAAGGAACAGCCAAATATTTTGTTTCCTTTCCCAAATGTCTTCTAAGCAGAGGACCAGGAAGGGTGGGGTGTTGGACAACTGGGGGAGGAGACAGAGGTCCTCCCGAGGTGGTATCCCTGCTGCACTTGGGTCCTTTTGCTTGTCTGCAACCCCCCCTCCCACCTGAATCTGTCTCACTGTGTTCATCTCCGATTCCTGATTTGTACTTCACAACCTCTGAAGATTTCCATTTCTGCCTCATGTCCCTGGTTCTGATCTCTGTCTTTTTACTCATCAATAAGATTGTGATGGATGCCACTGTCACGAACTGGGGCCCAAAGCTTCTTTGTCCCCAAATTACTTACATGTCCTTCTTGGTCTCAGTCCCTCTCGGTCGTCTGCCTTACTCCTCTTTCTTTCTCCCTAGGTCTCATCTGAACCTGTGCTCTTACTACCTACTTACCTACCTTATACTGATTTCTACCCATCGCCCATACTGTACCTTGATTCATGTGCTTCCAAAGATCCTTGATAAATTTTGTGGCTTCCTTTTGTAACCTCCACCGTAATTGGTTGGCCTTTGAACAGTTTACCTGAGAGAGTCAGCTCTGTTGGACGTTGCGGAACTTGCTTCTAAATAAACGCTCTCAGGGTTGAGCGGTAGCCAGTCTTGGTTCAGGGATTGTTCTCTCTGCTCCCCTGGTTCCCCGCTTTCTCTCGCTGTGCTGCCACAGTGTGGGGAAATAAAAAGGAAAAAAAAACACACAACTCTAACAAAGTTGAACTCTTGGATGTCTTTCCGCCCTGGAGGCCCCAGGTTGGAATCATGCCCTGCCTGCCGTTGTTAAGGTGGCGCTCCTTTCCTTCGCTTACACCGGCCCAGGTTTAGACAAGGCAGTAGTAGCTGGTGGGGGTTAATGCAAGAACAGGTTCCTGGGCGGTGTGGGGGGGGGAAATGCCCTTGTGTATCCTTTCTCCCTTTTTGGTGTAGGAACAGAAGGAAATGTCTGTGCAGGTCAGACCCATTAAAAAACACTGCGAATAACCATCTCATGTAGCTGTCTCGTTTGCAACATTTGCAAACATCCCATGTTACGATTACATATTCAAGATCCCAGAGCTTGAAAAAGTTCCTTTTAAAGTGACAGCTGTCAAAATGCCCTGCCCAAAATGTGCACTAGCCAGGTTGGTGGGGATGTTCCAGGTGTTGTTGCCCCCCCCTCCCCAAAAGGAACTTTCCCAAGCTTTGCAAAATTCTGCATTTTTCTTTCCACGGGGGTAGCCGTTTTAGTGTATCATGACAAAAACCACACAGCACCGCCTTGCCACACCTTAAAGGAAGGCCCTACAGTATGGAGAACTGCAGACAGTCGTATGCTTTCGTAGCATAGAGTCCATGTCAATACAGTACATGACACACTGGGGTGGGAGGCGGAGGCGCCAATCCTGAGGATGTGGGATTCCAGTCGCTGCCTTGTGTCTATAAGGTGACATGAAGCTCCGCCTTTTTATTATGGAAAAGTGATAGAATTCCAACTTTCAGAAACACTAGCAGCAAAAAAATTAAAGGTGCTTCAGTGTGTGAGAGGGAATGAGTACACTGGAGGACAGAACACATGATTTACAAGCCCCAGAGGGACTTGAGGTCTGATTCTTGGTAGATCTCCTTTTACTTTCTGAGGCAAAACAAGATGCTATGCTCTTACACACTCCCCCACCCATACCATTAGTCTCCTTTTCCACCCTTCTATGGGTCCTCTGCCCCCTCTGTCCCCTCTCTGCATCCCAGATCAGGATCACTTCTGGAAACTGCGCTCAGCAAGGAAGGGGAATGGGGAGACATGAACATGAGGCAGTCCCTCTCTCCTGAGGAATGCATATGCAGCTGGCGTGTGCTCTTGTCCATTGGGCCCATTCCCTTAGTGGAGAGGATAGCAATTCCCTTCGTTTACCAGCTGGAGAACATGAAGACCGAGGGAGAGTGCATTCTTTAGAAAGGCTACCAAAATGTCTCCCAGATCCCCCTGGCTGCAACCCACTGTTCTCCCATGGGTTCTAGAAGAGATTGCTTGCGAGTTGAGAGAGAGGGAGAGGGAGTTCATGTGGCGGGCCTAAGGAGTGGGGATTAAAGTCGACTAATAAGGACAGGATTACAGAGTGTAGAGTTCTTTCTGTTTTACCTCCAGGAATGGCTTTTGCTTTGCTCACTTCCGTAGCACCCATCTATGGGCTCTACACTTCGTTCTTCCCTGCGCTGCTGTACATGCTCTTCGGTACCGGACGTCACGTCTCCACAGGTAAGTAGGCTGCGTACAAGCAATGGGCTCTGGGGGCGGGGCGGCATTCTTCTTAAGCGCTCTGCTGTCATGTTTGCCCACAGCTTTGAAGTACTCTTAATTAGTACTTCAGTGTCGGGAATAGATCCTGTGATATAGGGTGGGCTATAAAGGTTTTAAATAAAATAAAATAAATGTAATTCAGATATGTCACCTTTCTAAGAAACTTTCTCAGTCTATTCTATTTCATCCATTTAAAGTCCCTGGGACAGAGTGGAGACACTTCTGTTTCCTGAGTCGAAAGATGTCGTGGTGATTCTGGTGGCAATGCGGAATGGGTGGTATTGTTGCATCTGGTAGAGCTACGAGGGCACTTTTGAATGGCTATCACTGTGACATGCCCAGCGTTTGGAAATGTTGTGTTCTGGGTGGCAATTTCAAATCCCCAGCCGGTCTGGCTCATGGGAGCTGTCCTCTGATAAAAGGACGTTTCCAGGCTCTTCGTGTCACCCAGTGTGATATGCGAGGACTGAACGTGCTCTTCTCTTCTTTGTCCATTGCTCTGCTTCCCAGGCACTTTTGCTGTGGTCAGTCTGATGACAGGCTCAGTGGTGGAGCATTTGGTCCCTCAACCCCTGCAGTCCAACAGTTCAAGCCCTGCCGATGTGGCTGTCGTGGAGAGGCAACGCATTGGGGTGGCTGCGGCCATGGCCTTTCTGGTGGGACTCCTCATGGTGAGTTAGAGGGACCTGATGGAATGAGCAGGTCTAGTAGAGTGAGACAACATGATTTTCCATGAACGATTCAAGGGAACGTGAGACAGAGAGTTGAAGTAGCAGCATGCTTGTTACGCTGTGCGTTTTCAATTGGCTACGCTCAGTTAAAAAGAAGAGCCGGTCAGCCAGAGGTTGTCCTCCTTATCTTGGGAGTTCTAGTCTTTGCTAGTAGTGATCAGCCTCTACTGTGTTGTTCTTTTTGATTTAAAAAGCCGTGTGTATTACTGACTCTCACCACATCCAGTTGCAGTGAATTCCCTAAGTTAATTATGTAGTGCATACAGACCTCTCTTTTTTTGTTTATTCTTTGGAATTCCTCCAGTTTTAAAAATTTCACAGACACACATACTTCCCAGCAGATAGCCAAAATCATAAGGACTAGAAACATGATTTTTTTTAAAAAAATTGCAGAAATATAAGCATGCACTCAGTTTCAAATTCCACAGATTTTCTACCTTTGCAATCTTGGCAGACATCTACCCTTCAGATAAATATCTTCTGCCTCATCCCCAGATACTGATGTTTGTGCTTCACCTGGGCTTCCTCTCCACCTACCTCTCAGAGCCTGTCGTCAAGGCCTTTACCAGTGGAGCTGCCTTGCATGTTGTGGTGTCTCAGCTCCAAAGCCTGCTGGGTTTGCCCATACCACGTCCTGATGGCTGCTTTGCAATCTTCAAGGTGCGTCAGAAATACAAAACCCCAAAGGAGAATACCTTTCTTATTCCTACCTTACCTATCTTTTCCCAGGATGCAGGCGCCTTGTGGCACAGCAATTAAACTGCAGTACTGCAGCTAAGACGCTGCTCACAACCTGAGTTTGATCCTGATGGGTTCAGGTAGCTGGCTTGAGGTTGACTCAGTCTTCCATCCTTCTGAGGTTGGTTAATTGAATACAGTACCAAGCTTGCTGGAGGAAGGGCAACATATAGCTTGCATAACTAAATTGTAAACCACCCAGAAAGTGCTTCAAGTGCTATGGGGCATTATATAAATAGCACACATTTTACATGGGATATTTTGCTTCTATGGGCTATCATGAAGATACATTTTATTTTCACTTGCAAATTGTTCTGGGGGCTGTTGTTTTTAAAAGCAATATTTCTGCCCCCTCTCGTTTTCTCTCTCCCTTTTCAGTGCTTTTTGGACACAATTGTATGGGTTTTCCAATATGCTAAATTAGCCCACATTGATTGCTGTTGGAAGCTTTGGATAACTGTTGTTGCCTTCTCCACCATCCAGTACAGTGGCTGATATTTATGACCCTGTTTTTTTCTCCAGACACTGGCATCTGTTGTAGAAGCCTTGCCCTTAACCAACATTGCTGAACTGCTTATCTCAGGCCTCTGCTTGGCTGTGTTGGTGCCCATCAAGGAGATCAACAACCGCTATCGAAGTCGGATGTGGGTTCCCATCCCAGGAGAGATCATCATGGTATGTGGGAAGCTGTAAGCAAGCCAGTTCTTTCTTCACTGCATCCAACACACAGAACCCCTTGCAAAGGAAATTCACACATGACATCTGGGGTAAGGAACCTGTGGTCCTCCAGACGTTCCTGAGCTATAGTTTCATTATCCCTTATCACTGGCTGCGCTGATGGGAGCGGCAAACCAACAATATCTGGAGGTCCACATGCTCTGCAGCCTTGCCTTGCTTTACACTTACAAAAGTATGTAGATTCAGGCAAGTTACAAATATTTCCTTTGTATGGACATTTCAAGATTGAGGTTATCAAAGGAGATGTTTCTGTGCCTATCAATGTGGCAGTCTTGTGCTGAAAATGCATGCCTTGAGAGTTTTGAACCTTCTCATTCGATTTGGTAGAAGAAAAATAAATTGTATTTGAAATGAATTTCAAAAGAGAAGAAATTCTGGAGAAATTATGTTGAGGCAGGATCCAAGTGCTAAGAGATGGCAGAGAGTGTGTTGTTTTTCATTGTACAATCATCTCTGTGGCACCTGCTTCTCACTCAATTACACCCCAGGAAAGATGTCATACAGTAAGGGTGTTCCATATTGGGAAGTGTGGGCAGCAAGGAAAGCTGCAGAATGGCAAAGATATGTGTAGTGGAAAGAAAGAAAGTAAACCTGCAGCGCCCGCACTAAGCTTACAGTGTTAGGAGTATGTCCAGAAGAAATTTTAAATTGATCTGAGAATTGGGGGGGGGGGACAAAAAACAGGAGCCTCCTTCATGGGGAAGTACACTTTTGGGAAAATTGGCAGACAGATTATGGCACAACGTTTGTTTGTTTCTTTGTTTCTTTACTGCTCATCTAGCTTACTACTACTCTGGATGGTGTACAACAGAACTGAAAAACAAAATTTATATAAAACATAAATTATACAAAGATTTACTGCTACAAATGAAACTCCCTCGTTACAAAGAACTTTGCTTTTTAATTTGACCTGAACACAGTATTGCCCTACTATCTGCTGTAGGGCGTACAAGAAAGCAACAGTATTTATAAGCATATGTGGCAAAGGCAAAACAGATCTACCTCCGCCCCTTAAAAATGTAAGGTGCTGCAACAGGTATGAGAAATGTCTCTGAGAAGTATTCTGAGATTTGTCTCTTCCTTACTTCCATAAAGTCCATTGTTTTTAGATTTTCTCTTCCATTTTTTGATGATTGCTTGCCCGCCATCACCACCACGATGCCTGGGAATGGCAGAAGGTAGAGAACATGGGAGCAGGGAAAAGATGGCCAGGCTCTTTACACCGTGGCTGTTGTTGCCACTTCTGTGGCAATTGGAAAAAAAGAGGGGAAAAAAACCCACCAAAACCTACAGCCACTGCTAGCAGGCAGTTTCCCTTGGGAGAAATTTCTCAGAAATTTCTCCTTCCTCTGCAGAAACGGGTGAAATTCTTCTCTCCAACTCCTCTTTCCACAGATAGGGAGAATGCTGAGGAAATATAAATGTGAGTGTTTTCTTTTGTGAGACATCTTTTACAGTAGTTGATTTTCTTTTCAAGAAAAAAAAAACACCTGCACTGGCTGACATAACAAACACCCTTTGCTAATTCAGCTAAGCCTTAATTCTTGTTACATTAGGAGGCTTTGACAAATGTGAGATGTGTCCTCATAGGGAAGTATATTTGAAATATTTGGCAACACATCAGAACTTAAAAGCCAGGCTGCTTCAGACCAGAGGCCTTCCTGGTTCAATGTTCTGCTCTCACTGTTGCCTACCTGTAAGCAGGAGGAAACCCCGAAGAGGACATGGATGTGACAGCATCTGTTGTGTCACATTCCTTAGCAACTGATAGAGTTGCTAGGGAATGAAATACTGCCTCTTTTACTGGAGCTGGTGCTTAGCCATCCTGAATAGCCCTAATCTCTGTGAATTTAGCCAGCCATCATTCAAAACTGCCCAAATTGGCAGCCGTTCATGTCTATATACAGTGCCAGAGAGTTCCACCGTTTTACTTTACTGCTAAGGCTTCCGCATAAATACAACAACTGTAACACATGTTTGAAAATATAAAAGGGGGCAATCTTTTTAAGGGGCACTGCTTGATGAAGACTTTTGCAGAGCTGAAGCTAGTTTCTGTTTGCGATATTTTAGTGTCCTTCCAAAATGATTCACACCCTTTGTCTTTGGAATGTAAGGGGACTGCGGTCTACATGGCTTTCAACTGCCTTTTTCTTCTCTTCTGTTCTTTGGCAGGTCCTCTTGGCCACTGGGATCTGCTTTGCATCCTCCCTAAACGCTAACTATAAGGTGCAGATAGTTGGACACCTCCCAGCAGGGTAAGATTCGTTTTCAGTCTCCATCCTCCCCATCCCCCCATGCTGATGGACTGCAAAGTCATGGCCTGTCCTGTTGGCATGGCAACAGAAAGGCAGCTGCCTGCCTTATTAAAAAACATGGAGGCCAACTGCTTGACTGTGGGGATAAATGGTGGGGTGGGGAAGAAAGGAATGCTCTATCTCTCTCTCCTCTGGCAGATAGTGATTCCCATTCCACCATTCTTTTGTGCAGGTTCCCACAGCCCAAGCTCCCAGCCCTGCATCTGCTGCCCCAAGTGCTGGGTGACACGGTGGCCCTCACTTTCGTGGCCTACGCCATCTCAGTGTCCCTGGCCATGATCTACGCTGAGAAGCACCACTATGCCATTGACCCCAACCAGGTGTGTGGCCAGCCTGGAGAGCTAGGATCTCCTCAGGGTTGGGATCTAGGACCTGGACAACTCCCTTCCAGGAATTTGGCTCCCCTAGGCATCTTAAGCCAGTATTTCCTGCTTTGTGCCCCGAATGAACCTACCTAGCTCCCCTTCAACTCTTTCTCTCTCTCCTGAGGGCAGAAATCTACCTACTACACTAAAGCTGACCTCCCAGCCAGGAGTAGTCTTGTTTTTGACTCATAGTTTTGGGTTGTCACCAAAGGAACCCATCAAACCAAGTCATAGCTTTGGGAGGAGGGTCCACACTGGCATTCACCTGGTGTCATATGAACTTGTATCCAGCTGTGTATGAGATAACTGGTGCTCAGCAAACAGTGCAGAGTCCCATGGAGATGCTCCCCAGCAAGCTTTCTATGTCCCTTAAGGCAGCACTCCCCAACCTTTTTTTGTTTTTTTGCCAATGGCCATGCTAGACAGGAACAATGGGCATTCCAGTTCAACACATTTGGAGAGTAGGCCTCTCTACAGGCCTCAAGCACCTCCCATTTTTTGGACAGTCTTTGACTGTCTCCCAGGCATCAAGTTGTAAATCTAGTTTTAGCCGCTCATGGTAGATGCGTGATGAGCAAAGTTAAATGGATTTCCCTCTCATGATTCTCTGCAATGCTCCCCCACCATTCACCATCACCGTCTCTTGTAAAGGAACCCTGTGAACTATAATTCTGTGAGGTATTTCTGGGGATGCTTGTGCGTTCCCTACCCTATCACAAACGTTTGCATGATTCCTTGGAAAGTGGGAAGCCGTGAGAGTAAGCTAACTTAAAACTGGTCTCTATGTGAGGCATAAGCTTGAGAATTCTTTCTTCGTTCCTTTTCTTCACTTGCTGTTGTCTCAAAACTAGGTCGGGTTTAACCAAGAACTGGCTCTCACCTTGCTTTCTTCTGTCCTTCCCACAGGAACTTCTGGCTCATGGTCTCTCAAACCTGGTCTCGTCCTTGTTCACCTGTTTCCCAAGTTCAGCCACACTGGCTACAACCAACATCTTGGAGAGTGCTGGTGGACACACGCAGGTATAATAATTGAGCTGGCCCTACCATGAGAGTGAGTCAGAGGCATTAGGCAGGAGGGGTGTTTGAAGGACTTATGAGTGAGGTGCAGCAGGCAGGCAGCCCTGTGCTCCCAGAGCTACTCGTCTGTTGCCCTGAGATGTTATGAAGAAGGCTGTCTCATCACTAGAGCCGAAGCTAAGTTATGTTTTGTATGTGTGTAGAGAGGATGCTATTCCCTCTTCTTTTGTTCTTGGCTTCAGAAAGCAAAATGTCTTTGTTTGGTCCTGTGGACCGTAGGTTCCCCAGAAGCTCTTGGTTGACAACTTTCCTCCCCAAGCACTCTCAGTACATTTGTTCTTTCTCCTTAGAGCAGGACAAAAGAGCTGGCCATGGGGTGGTCCCCAAGCACTCTCAGTACATTTGTTCTTCCTCCTTAGAAAGAGCAGGACAAAAGAGCTGGCTGCGGTGGCCATGGGGTGCGGGGAAGCAGGGAGAGGGCGTAGTGACCATAGATTATTGATGACAAAAATAAGAGGTAGACCCAGGACTTGATCAGAGGCCTCGGGAGCAGGCCAAGCCTGCTGCAGTTCAAGAAACCAACTTTTTTCATGGAAGAGTCTTCAATGTCTTTATTTGCTGCATAGTGACAAGAGATGAATCCCCCTGGCATGATGATACTCTTGAGGAGAAGGTTTCAGCTTCTGAAATGTTGTTGCTTTGACTTATATACCATCCCATAGTACTAAAGCATTATCTGGGCAGTTTACAACATAAATATGCAAGCAACAACTATGCCTCCCAGCAATACTGGGAGTACTGCTTGAGGGGGAATGGATCACCAAGCTTGTAAGGATGGAGTAGCAGTCCTATGTGACAAGGGAAGCTTTGACTCTTTTGGCTTCTGATCAGCAGTGCCTAGTTACAGGAAGTGCTGTTGTGTGTTGTGTACCTGCACACATATTTTTGATGTATACTCGTATATCCAAAGCAGATCTGGGTAAGAGCCCCAGTTAAGCTGAAGTTTTAGAATAATTCACACAATGGAGAATTGATGGATGGATGGAATGGTACAGATCCACAGAGGTTTTGTTAGTACTAAAGCATTATCTGGGCAGTTTACAACATAAATATGCAAGCAACAACTATGCCTCCCAGCAATACTGGGAGTACTGCTTGAGGGGGAATGGATCACCAAGCTTGTAAGGATGGAGTAGCAGTCCTATGTGACAAGGGAAGCTTTGACTCTTTTGGCTTCTGATCAGCAGTGCCTAGTTACAGGAAGTGCTGTTGTGTGTTGTGTACCTGCACACATATTTTTGATGTATACTCGTATATTCAAAGCAGATCTGGGTAAGAGCCCCTGTTAAGCTGAAGTTTTAGAATAATTCACACAATGGAGAATTGATGGATGGATGGAATGGTACAGATCTACAGAGGTTTTGTGGTTGTGGGTTTTTTGTTTTGTTTTCCTTTGTTTTGGACACCACAGGTGTTTCTAGTGTTTTTGCTGCTCCGGACTGTAGTACAAAGAAGGCACAATGCTGCTTGGTTCTCAGGAGACATTGTGTTCTTTCTGCTTACTGTGCCGTGAGTAACCATGCATTCTTCTTTATCCCCAGCTCTCTGGCCTCTTCACCAGCGCTGTTGTCCTCGTCGTCCTGATCTGGATTGGGCCGCTCTTCTACTACTTGCCCAAAGTGAGCAAAACAGAGGGATGGGGGAGGGATAATTTGGATAAACATGACTCCCAGCCAATCCTAAAACAAGAATAAATTATGTATAGAAATTATTTTTGTTATTAAATGCATAATTTGATGCACTGCTTGCAGACGTTGAGTTCCCTTGATGGGCAGTTTTACTTTCTTTTCATATTTTTGTCACAGGAGTGAAGTCTGTGAAGTGAACTAAGATATATACACATATACACAATTTTCCACTAGTGACTTTGTTTTAACACTTGAAGGTCCTGTATAAGGCAGTAAATGCAAGGGCCAAATTATCTCTTTGCTCACAGTCAGTCTTCCAGTCTGTAGTACAGTCCTCTTACAGCACATATGGATTTTCTTTTCCCTCTAGGCCGTCCTCGCTTGTATCAACATCACCAGCCTTCGGCAGATGTTTCTGCAGTTCCAAGATCTGCCCGAGTTGTGGAGGACGAGCCACATTGACTTTGTAAGGGGCACAAAGCATTTGAGGATGGACCAATTTCTGAACCAGTGGTTAGAAATCAAACCCTCTCTTTCTCCAGTCCTTTCCTGCCTTAGACCTTTGCATAGCTACCATGTTGTTTCAGTTGGAATGGATTTTGCAGGGATGAAAAACTTTCAGCAATACAGATGTTGATGAACAGCTACTCCCTTTATATCTTGCCATTGCCCAGACTGTGGTTAGGGCTGAGGGGAATTGACATTCATCAATATCTGGAGGGCCACAGTTTCATCAGGCTTGACATATGGTTTCCTTGCTCAAGCTATCAATGGGGTTCACAGCTGACTGGCTTGCAATTTGGCTCATGCAACATTAAAAAGGAAGAGGATCAGGGAAGGCAAAAATAAGCCATATCAGTTATTGTGTCCATTGAATTAAATTATTTTGTGGAAAATGAATCAACCTATATCAAGTCTGACTGATGAAATGGTCTTTGCTTTCTTGACTCTCCTTTTGAGATTACTGGTTTAAAGGTATGGTCAAACTCTAGAGGTATTATTGTATCAGTTTGTGTAGCAAAGTAGCAAAGCAGCAAAATTCATGCCACTTCTACTTAGGAGCACCTTAGGTGCTACATGACTCTTCCCATTTATTGTTTGGGCACAACCTCTGCTTCGATCTGCAGGGAAGAGGGGCATGTAGCCCTTCACATTTTACTGAACTACAGTCCCCATCACCTTTCACCTTTGGCTAAGCTGGCTGGGGCTGATGGGTACTGGAGCCCAGAAACACCTAAAGGACCACAGTTTCTCCAGCCCTGCCCTTTAATACTGTGGTCCTGGGGAATTTTGTGTCACGTCTACCCTCAAGTCTCCTTGATATGTCCCACAAGGGTGAAACTGCTTATGTGAATGATCCACTTTTGTCCCACCCCTAGTAAGTTCCTGCCAGCATAATTTAATTGGCTTTACATTAGATTAAGTTCATAGTTTGGAAATTTTCCCTTTAAAAAAATCAGAATCCTCCCTCCCCAAAATGCTGGCTTGGACACTCTGGGAGTTGAGGTCCTCCTCAAAGCAATTTTCCAAGCTCGGGGCTTTGCTCTGGCAAAAGCTGAAGATTGACTGCATGAGCCATCCATCATCGCTGAGTACAAAAATGGCAAAAGGGAGGCTAAAGCACAGAGAAACATGGATTAACTACCGCTTGGAGTCTTAGACCCAAAGCTGCTGATCAGAGAGCCCGATATTGGGGGAGAGCTGCCTCCAAATGGCTCCTCTGCTCTTCCGGGATCCCTTGGGATTCTCTCACCAATTTTTTTTTGATCATCCCTCACAGGCTGTCTGGGTGGTCACGTGGCTTGCTGTGGTTGTGCTCAGTGTGGACCTAGGCCTGGCTGTCGGGGTTGTGTTCTCCATGATGACAGTGGTGTGCCGCACACAGAGGTATTTGCGCAACCACCCCTCTCCTGTTGCACAGTCCTCATGCCAAATCTTGGGTCAGGCTCAGCCATTAGGATCAGGTGCCCACTGGTTGACTAGGGGATGTGTGCATGCTGGAAAGGCTGTACGGGGCAGTGGTGGGGATGGGATGGAAATACTGTAAATGTTAGCACCCAGCTTCCTCTGCTATACTCTCTGCTGCCCCTGGTGGTCACAGGTCTGAGCCTATGGCGAGTTCTGTCTGTTATCTAAATAGCCACGTGAATGGCGCAGGCCTTTTTGCTGTCCCCTGAATTTCCTAGAAAACTGCTACAGTAGTTGCTTGGAATGCTGCCATTGGTCTTTCCCAATGACGAGAGCCGTCAGGCTGACATGGAAGTTCATGTTTGCCAGGTATTGAAAAAGCAATGCCCAAATGGATGCCAATGTCTCCTTCCTATCGCTTCCTCAATCTTCTAGGGCTGAGTGCTCGGTGCTGGGCAGGGCAGCTGACACAGAGATCTACAAACCTGTGCAGTACAACAGCAAGGTAAGAGTGGTGGGGATCTAGAGAGGAAACAAACACACAAACACGGTATAAAGAGTTAGGAAACTGTAGCCCACCCACAAAGCAAATGCTAGAGAGGACATAGGAGGTTGGCTAGACGGCTTAACTAGAAAGGGCTGGACTGGGCTAAATATGGTCAGTTAAGGTTACGCAGACGTCTGGTATCCCATTTGGTGTGATCCACATGGCATGTGCACCTCAAATGACCCTACTTGGCCCACCTCCCTTAAGAAAAGAAAGGAAAAAAATCCTTATCCTTTCCTGTTTCCTCCTCCTCCTCCTTCTGGAAGTTAGTTTTCAGTTTTAATTTTCCCCCCTAAAAGGCACAGTTCATCACCACTGCTGTAATAGGTTTTTTAAAACTTTGCTTCCTCCCTCTGCTCTGAGAGGTGCAGAGAAAGTGTTAAATTTCCCCATACCATTAAGTGGTTAAGCTTAAAGATATTGGGAAATTGAAAGCGGAAGAGAAATTGACAGCAATAAGCTTTCCTTTGGTTCTGTCACAGCAATTGCATGTTCTGGAAACGAACCAAAACAGAGCAACCCTACACTCACCTAAGAAAGAGTAAACCCTGGTTTGCACTTGTATTTATGTCATCTGGCAAAAGGAGGAAACCAATCTAGTCTGACACAGTACCAAACATTGGGATAAATGCCATATAGTCACTGCCTAAGTGATGATGGGTCACTATAGCACTAGAAGATCATGCAACACAACAGCAAAACAACACACAAACAAGTAGGTAAAAGTAAAAACAAAAAATACTCGTTGTAAAACAAGATTTACTTCTCTCCTATCCTGTGCCGTTGTTTACATTTGTGATTCCATGCCCTCTTACCTCATATTAAGCCTTCCTGAGTTCAGTGAGACTTACCTAAACAGGATTGTACCATAAATGGGTGGCACTAATTAGGATCTGTAGAATGTAATCTAATTGCAAATAATGTGATTAGAATGTAATCTTTATGTAATAGGGCAGAAAACCTGTGACCTTCCAAATGAACTAGCTCTCATCCGGTCATAGCCACCCTGGTCAGTGATCATGCATTATAGGAGTTGTAGTTCAGCCACATCTAGGGCTAACCTGGCACAAGTTGCCCTTTTATACTTGATGTATGTCTTAATCAGGATCTTTTAATGAGTAATGTGTGCTAGCTAGTGGGTTGTTGTGTTTACTTCGAACACTTAGAGAATTCCTTGAAAATGTTTTTATTGTATAAGCCTTAATAAGATGCTTTCATAATTAGAAATGTAGAAATACGTAAATAATCTGGGGTTATGGGAATTGTACTCCAAATGGAATGTGCTAAAGTTAGGCTATGCCAAACCTAATGATGCATCTCTGTCCTCTTTATATACTCCTGCCTCCACTTCATAGTGCTTCGAAATCCCAGGTGTGAAGATATTAAGTTACCAGTCCCCCATCTATTATGGAAACCGTGGCTTCTTTCGTGATGCTGTGATCCGTTTTGTGGGGCTAGATCAGGAATTACAGCAGCCTGAGGAGGACCAAAATCCAGACATCAGGATGAAAATGGACATCAGCACTGTGGTAATGTTCTAGGTGGAGACCAAATTATGGCTGCTGAATTGAGCTCAATCAAGTTCACACCACAGCCTGGAAAGATTGCTGTTTTGGACAGCAACTTCTAAACTCTCCCAAATGAGATGGCAACTGGGAGTTGTCATTTTAATAAGGTGACTCCTCTAAGTGATAGTTTACACCATACTCATCCCAAATATGTGGCAGAACCGACCATGTGGTGGAACAATTATGGAGAGTTAGCTGTTGTCAACAATGGTTGACCACAAATGAGGGAACTTCAGCCTTTCAGGTGTTTTGGGCTTCAGTTCCCAGAAGCCCCTGCCAACCTGGCTGGTGGTAAGAGACTGCGAGAACTGTAGTCCAAGACATTTGGCAGATTCAGTTTCCCTAGGCTTGTTGTAGGGTAATGCTGTGCTCAGTGGACTGAAAGCTTGATTGAGTTGAAGTAAGAAATAAGAAAAGGCTTCTTGAACCATGCAACAAAAGAGACACAGGCACTTAGTTTACGTATATCCAGGCCTGTTAGGTAGAAAGCAGAGTAGCTTTTTAGCACTAAATGGAGCATTTTGAGGAGGAGAACAAAACCCCCATGCCTTTCCCATTGCGCTTTGCTGCTTTAAGCAGTTTTTTCTTTGTCTGTAGGTTGTATTACTTTTTGACAGGAGTCCCTCTGAGTTAAAATAGCTTAAGGCCATGGAGTGCTGTGGGTAAGGCCCCTTTTCTAGAATCATCCCAGAATAAACTTCTAACTTGTCCCCTCTCTCACACACGCACATTAGTGCCACAACCTTCTTCCTAACCTTGTGGTGAAACTGCAGCACAGCAGTGAAGACCATGCTCATGACCTGGGTTCAGTGCCAATGGGCTCAGGAAGGCGGTTCAAGGTTAACTCAGCTTTCCATCCTTCTGACCTTGGTAAATTGAGTACCCAGATCGCTGGGGGTGAGGAGCTGTAGCCCGTATAATTAAAAAATTGTAAACCACTGAGAGAGAGCTTTAAGCACTCTGGGGAGGTACCATGCTTCCCTGACAATAAGACAGTGCCTTATATTATTTTTTTTCTCAAAAAAAATACACATTAGGGCTTATTTTCTGGGGATGTTTTATTTTTTCTTGTACAACAATCTAAATTTATTAACATACAGTCATGTCATCTTCTTCTGGTTGCTGCACAATGGTGGAGGGCAGGGTTTCACTTAATTCGGGCTTATTTGCAGGTTAGGTCTTATTTTCCGAGAAACTATTTATCTATCTATTTATTTATTTATTTAAACTTATATACTGCCCATCTAGAACATGTCTACTCTGGGTGGTTTACACAAAATATAAAAAAAACTATGAAAGTATAAATGTACTAGGTATAAATGTTTGTTTGTTTGTTTGTTTGTTTGTTTATCTATCTATCTATCTATCTATCTATCTATCTATCTATCTATCTATCTATCTATCTATCTATATTTATTTATTTATTTATTTATTTATTTATTTATTTAATATCCTGCCTATCTGTTCGGATCAGGACCACTCTAGGCGGCTAACAACATAAAATAGTACAATAGATATATATATATATATAAGCAGCCTATCCTTAGTATTGAACTATGGTCTTTTTCCTCCTAGTAATCGGGCTTGCAGTATTAGTTGGGCTCCAGAAAATTGTACTCCTCCCCTATACTTGGGGTCCTGACTGTGTGGTTAGGTGGGCAAAAAGTTTTGCTCCGTTACAGCCATCTCTTCTCCAGATAAAAAGATAATTCTCCCTTCTCCAGATGTGTGAATGAAGATGTGAGACTTCTGCCATAAACAATGGCCCATCTTGGCCAGTCCCTAAGCATTGTGGGTAGTGGGTGGGACATCTAGACAGGTAGTCCATATTCCACACCTGCTTGAATCCCAACACATATTCTTTTTTTAATTGTATCTACTCCTGCATTAGTACTGGAGCTATTTCAAACATTTGTATGCTTGACTTTCAATGCAGATGAACAGGGAAACCAGCCTTTATTACACTGTGTATTTCAATCTTGTTAAAATGTTTAGGGATGTAATGAAAAACAGATATTTTTACTGTTCTATCTTTTACATGGGCATGTCACTTGTGTGCAGGTATCCAATATGTGCTTTGAATTATAAGTGGACTGGTTCATTATTTTAATTCAGTACATAGCCATTTCCTAATTGGAACAGTCTTGGGAAACACGCTGCATGTTTCTAGGAAATTGAATTGTGCGTAACTACTGTTATTTTTGTGATCTAATACTGGATATGACGCTCCAGACCCTGAATGTAGTTTGACCGTATGACTGGTTCCTGATGTGTAAAAATGAATGAAATGGGCTGAAGTGGTTATCCTGTGATGGAGGCAGACAACACATGGTCCTTCAGAAACTGCAGGACTGCAACTCCCGTTAGCCCAAGATGGGATTGCCAAAGAGAACATGAGAACTGCCTTCTAGGAACATCGGGAAAAAGTTCATTTGGCAGCCTCAAAAATGCTACACTGAATGCTTGTTAAATGAACTTTTGCTTTGTTTGCAGTTGAGAACCTGGTGCTTTTTCCAGCTCTCTTAAGCTGATGAAAATTGTTTTTGGCTTTTCCTTATAGGAGGGCAGTATCTCTGTCCTGGACAAGAAGCACAGTCCAGGTAAGCAAAGGTTAATTCCCCCTCTAACTCATGGGACATGTTCCTTAGTAAACAAGCATTCTTAATTCTGCAATGGGAAAAGTGGAATGGTCCTTTCCTCAATTCTCCAGGGAGTACTGGTTTCCAGGCAGGCTCTAGTATCTTACTGGGCTGTTTCTCAGCCCAGTAATTATTGTATGGTACACCAAACTTTCTCTGTGTGTTATGTTCAGTGCCACTAGCCAAGCATTGCTAGGAAAGTTCTCTCCTATGGGCAGCAGAAAAAGGTTGCACCTCTCTCTGGGGACGGATGTTCACATCTGAAAAAGCTGTAAAAACCATATAGAGTGCAATTCTTCTGAGAATGCACAAAGTGGCACATGGTAAACTAATCAGAGCCACTGTGTTCTGTCTTGTTTATTCCTCCAGGCACAGCAGTACAGGCTGTGATTCTTGACTGCAGCGGAGTGTCCTTTGTTGACTCAGCTGGAGCCCGGCTCCTTATCCAGGTACAGTACGCCAAGAGAGACACATAGCGCACATTTGAGGTGGTGGCAAGGGTCATGACATGGTATTTCTCATCAGAAAGAATGAGAGCAAGACCAAAGTTGGTCCGGAATCCAGGCAGCCCATCCAGACGGCCTGTGCTCTTTACCACAATGCCTAGGGACTGATTGTGAATGTCCAAGCATGAGCACAGGGCCCCTCCCCTCCCTTAGGGAAGTGGGAGCGTTGATCATGTGACATGCTCTGGAGACCAAGGTGGGGAGGGCAGGGTCAGAATATGAAGTGCACAGGGCTACGTTTTTCTACCCTTCTTTCTGCAATTAATTAGTAAAAAAAAACCTAACTGAAAAATATATAAGGTGATATTAAATATACTTAGTAGCACATGAATACCCTGTTCTTCTATCAAATAACTTGGTAGCCAAACTGGACATCACATGTGCTTATACTTTTAATGTGCAGATATAACAATGCAAATGGCATCAACTGGGGCTGAAGCAGAAGAGCTGATGTGCATGTAATTTAACCTCCTCCCCTTTTCCACTCTGAGGAAAACCCTTCCATGGACATTGCTGTTGCTTTAGGAAGAAGTTCACCCTTAATACCAAGACTAGCTGAGCTCTCTAAGTGGATTCCATAGGGTTTCCGGGTAGCTGAATTGCCTAAATGAGAAACCGTATGGAAGCCATGCTGAGGACCCACCTGGTCTTGGCGTTAATGAACCTGCCAACCTGCAGAGTATCCTCAGAAAAAATGTATTTCTGATTCATTTCCATATCCAAGGCAGTGCTTGGGGCAAAAAGGTTGTCCACTCCTGGTGTGTTGAAATGAAAATCAGGAGTGGTTCAAAGATGATTGGTCACAGAAATGGGGACTATGTTCCACCCTCCCCCAGCAAATCCAAATAGATTAGAAGATTGTGCTGCGCTAGGGACCCAGATGGATCAGGGCGTTGCTGCCGTGAACACCTTTCACCTAAACATGGCATTAATTTTGATCCCCCCTCCTTCTTTGCCTTGTAGCTGTGCACAGAATGTCAACAAGCAGGCATTCGGATGCATCTGGCTGCCTGTAATGGTGAGTGAAACAGAGTACCATTCACCCTCCTTCTCACTTAAGTTGATGTTGTATATTTGCATACATTAAATAATAAAATCAGAGAAACATGGGAGTCAGACAGGGCCCATAAGGCCATCGAGTCGAAACCCCTGCTCAATACAGCAATCCAAGTCAAAGCAGATGTGACAGATGGTTGTCCAATTTTCTCTTGAATGCCTCCAGCACTGGAGCACTTACCACCTCCCGAGATAATTGGTTCCATTGTCATACTGCTCTAACAGATTTTCCTAATATTCAACCTGAATCTGGTTTCCTGTAACTTGAGCCCATTATTACATGTCCTGCACTCTGGAATACTCAAGAACAAATCCTGCCCCTCCTCTATAGGACTACGTTTCAAGTATTTGAAAAGTGCTATCATCTCCCCTCAGTCTTCTTTTCTCAAGACCAAACATGGTCCATTCTTTCAGTTTTTCTTCAGAGGGCTTGGTTTTCAATCCCCTGATCATCATCATCACTCTCCTCTGAGCTTGCTCCAGTTTGTTGGCATTCTTCTTAAAGTGCAGTGTCCTGAACTGGATACAGTACTCGAGATAAAGCCTAACCAGTGCTGAATAGGAGGCAACTAGTACTTCACAAGATTTGGGGACTACTATTAATGCAACCTAAAATAGCATTTGCCTTTTTTTTTGGCAGCCACCTCACACTGTTGGCTCATATTCAGTTTGTGATCTACAATTCCAAGATCCTTCTTGCTTGTAATATTACTGAGTCAAGTAACCCCCACCTTGTAACTGTGCATTTGGGTTTTTTCCTAGGTGTAGAACTTAGCACTTATCTCTGTTAAATTTCATTCTGTTTTCAGCTCAGTGCTCAAGCCTATCAAGATCTTTTTGAAGTTGTATCTGTCTTCCAGAGTGTTAGCTATTCCACCCAATTTTGTGCCATCTGCAAATTTAATAAGCATTTGCTGCCTTCCATCTTTTTGTTTTCATGGGAATTGTTTGTTGATATGCTTTTAGAATTTCCTTCTTAAGAAACTGCCACCCAGCTTGGACTCATTTTCCTATCAGGAGCTCTTGCAATGGAATCTTTCTCATCATTGTTCTGAGTTTAGTAAAACTGCCTTTCCTATAATCTACTGTACACATGTGCCTGCACACTGGCTTTGTTTTGATTGAAATCAAGAACTCAAGTAGAACATGGTCCAGGGTTTCCCTTACTGCCACTACTTCCACGGTCATCTCTATTTGTTAGGATCAAGTCAAGGATAGCTCCACCTCTCGTTTCTCCCTCCAGTGATTGTTCTGAGTTTAGTAAAACTGCCTTTCCTATAATCTACTGTACACATGTGCCTGCACACTGGCTTTGTTTTGATTGAAATCAAGAACTCAAGTAGAACATGGTCCAGGGTTTCCCTTACTGCCACTACTTCCATGGTCATCTCTATTTGTTAGGATCAAGTCAAGGATAGCTCCACCTCTAGTTTCTCCCTCCAGTGTTTCTAGGTGAAAGTGATCAGCAACACAAGCCAGGCATTTCTTGGGAAGGCTATATTTGGCAGAATTTGCCTCCCAACAGATTTTAGGCTAATTGAAATCTTCCATTACTGCTACGTCGTGTCTCTTTGAAATCTTTGCAATTTGTTTTTCAAAGGTTTCATTAGCATCGTCTCCTTGATTGAGCAGTTGGTAGTAGACTCGAAGTACCACAGTCCTTTTGGGTTTTGCCCCAAACATAGCTTTGCAAAGTTATTTTTTGCAGCTGCAACTCTCAGAATCTTTCAGGCCGCATACAAAAAAGTACCATATTTTTCAGTGTATAAGACTATATTTTTGTCTAAAATCTTTAGACTAAAAATTGAGGGTCGTCTTATGCGCGGAAGTAAGCTGAAGAGAGAACAAAAACAAGTGGAGGGGAAAGCAGAGATCAAAGCGATCCTGCAGCGCTTTGATCCCTTTCCTCCTACACTTGCTAAGCCCCACTTAGATTTCTTAATTTTGGATTAGAAAAGTGGGGGGCATCTTATATATGGAGGGTCTTATAGACAGAAAAATACGGGTAACTTTGCAAATCTCTATAACAGAAAAAAGTGTTTGTATATAATTCATTTTAGAAATGGCAGTTTCGACCCTGTTCACCTCTTCTACAGAAACAACCCCATTTTTGCCATCACTCACAAGCCCTGGCTTACATATGTGGGGTATACATCTGCTATATTTATATTCTTTGGTGTGAATCTGTCAATATTAATGTGTGAAGCTACTCTCTAACCCAGGAGTGGAAGCCCACTGCATGGTGTCTCTTTCCTGCCACTCACTTGAGCTGGCATGACTGAGGGTCAAACTGAATGAGATGATAGACCTCTGTGATATGTCCCCCCCCTTTTCTACTTTTTTTAGAAGTCATAGTGAGGACTAGATCAGAGCCACATTGTGGTGTTGTTAATATTTCCCCTAGGCGAGCAAACAGTACATAGCTTCAAATGACAGGTGGGTGGGAAATGCTCCTCTCAAGCCTCATAGTCCTCTGAATCTTCCCCCTCCAATCTGACAAAAGTGTAAAAGTAAGAATGGGAGATCTTTAGCCTTCCAGAAGCCCCAGGCAAGATAATCAACTGTAACCAATGATGAGGATTGTAGGTTCAAACACCTTTCTCACCACCACTGGTGTAACAAGTTGTGGGATCTAATGGCAGTCCCAGCAAACTCATCCAGTTGGACCCAGTGGCACAGGCATGCTCATTTCATTTTTGTATGATGATATTTACAGCTGAATGTACGAACGGCTTCCATTAACAAGCCTTTCACATGAAGTACAGTAGTAGGAAAATTGTATCTGTGATGTTTGAATAGTGACATCACCAGAGCTTGGGTAGGGGAAAACGTTGGCTTTTGCTGTGCTGAATGGGGCATTCAGGATGTTGTAGTCCCAAAGGGTGACTTTTTCAAGCTTGGGACATTTATTTTGCACATACAAATCCTCTGTTGATAAGCACGCAAGCACCGAATTGGAGGTCACCTGCTTCCCATTATGATGTCCTCTTTCCTATCTAGTCCATGTGCTACAAACGTTGAGCTTCTGTGGCCTGATGCACCACCTCCCTCCGCAGCAGATTTTTGTGACCGTCCATGATGCGGCTTCCTATCTCCAGCAGACCACGGTAAGGGGCTGAGGGTGTCAAACAGAGAACAGGACAAGCTCTGCTCTTGCTGTTTCCAATCCAGGCCACTCTACAGTGTGGATAGTGGTCTGGTTGAGAAGCTGTAGACTATGGCTTCAAAAAAAGCCAATTCACTGCCAAGCCTGTTATGCTTCTTTCTCCTAGTGCCAACTCGCATAGCTGAATGCTGCACATATGAAAATAACATTTCTATAGATAGAAGAATTCCAGTTCGGTCTTCTCTCCAAAATGCTACTTTTTCTCTGTATGGGGATATTTCAAAAGCAGTAACATCCCATCTGTAAATAAAAGAGGTCTAATTCAAACAGATTATAGGTTTATCACTTAAAAATGTAAGACATGAAACCACAGGCAGGTCTGGCCCAACAGTGGCCTGACAGATGCCTACAAACCCACTTGTAAGCAGAATACTGTACGAATGACTTAGTTTATGTTTCCTAGAGGTTTGGATACAGAAAGCAAGTCCCTCTGCTACTGGAAGAAATGTACTGTTATAACTGGTAGTTGTTATCATGCATACATTTCTGTGATCCCTTTTTAAATCTGTCCAGGTTGGTGTGATATATCTTGCAGTAGGAAAATCTATAGTTTAAATGTGCATCGTGTGACAAAAGTAATCATTTTGCCTTGTCTGAATTTTCAAGCATTTGGGTTCTCTGGACGTGTCTGAGGCTGCAGTCACGCTTGCAAAATGTTTCCTTGTTACTCCTCATGAATCTCATGTTTGTTTGTTGTGTTCAGACAATGCACAACCATTACTGAATCTCACCCCGTTATCTCCACATCAAATCAAGCCTGCTGGGAGGCTGCTAGTATACTTGTCCTGCATTGTGCATTACATCCAAAATTCCATTGTGTGCGTACTGCTAGATCAATTCTTTCTCATTAAAGTTGGTGTGTGGTCAACCCCCTGCCCCCATTGTCATTACTGTCATTACTGTCATTACTGTCTGTCTGTCTGTCTGTCTGTCTGTCTGTCTAGGTTTGTTTGTTGAATCAGAGTGTCAGTGCATTGGTATGCTTCTGTCAAAGACTGCTTTAGTATTCAAAGTGGGGGTTTCCTAGCCTGTCACCCACTGCCTGGGCCCACCAGGTTCTCCACCACTGAGGGTAATGTAGCATGGAAACAGGGGGAAATGGCCCAGATCAGTACGTGGCCAGCAAGGGCGTTTTGCTGACACATCGATGTACCCACAACCAGAAGTCGCTTTAAGGGAACTGGTTCCCAGGAAATCCACCCATTGTGATGTGATTAGATGTGACCCTGTCTACCATCTGTTTGTGCCTTTAAGGCTGAAGCTTGTTCATAGCCCTTTTTTTGTAATCTCAGATTCTGTTTCCAGAGTGTGTGTTATAAATACATTTTTATCTACTGAACTGTGCTTAGAGCAGTTCTGCATCTCCTAGCAAAGTCTGAGTCCATTCTCTGAGTACCAGATGTGAGATGCAAATGCTAGGAATGGCTATTGCTTTTTTTGCATTCTTAGGGCAGAAGCAGAATACTGGTTTACAGATCTTGGGAGAACTTAACATTCTGGACAACAAATCCAAGAGTCCCCAAGCTAGAGAGAGATTCTGGAGTTGCAGTCAAAAAATTAACTTCTCCTTTGCATTCAGCCCTGTTCAGAAGAGTTGCATTAAAAGGTATCAGTAGAAGAGCCTGCACTTCCTCTGCTGCTCACTGTGCCTGAAATTTCCCAGCAAATATTTATATAGATGATTTGTAGCATTTTTTTGGACCATTCCAAGTACATTAGCTCAGCAACAACTACCTTCCTAGTGTCAGGTAGCTCTGTGTGGTGATGATCGTCTCGCTCTAGACACAGGGATAAAAAGGGAAAGAGGGAACCGGGGGCAATCGACACAGTCTCTCAAGGTCACTCTTTTTGATTTCTACCCAGGAAAGTGTTGAACAGAAGGACCCAACCATCTGGGTATAAGCTGCCTACCAAGGGGTCAAGGACGTTATCAATCCATCCATGTGTACCAGGACAAAGACTGAGTTTACACAGACGTGCTGGAGGCAGCTGGCTGCCCACAAGACCAACATGGCCTTGCCTGCTACCCGGAGGCCTGGCTAGTGAAGCCTGGACACCCGGAGGAAAGCGGCAGCGGGTCGAGATGAGCAGAGTCCTCAGACTGAGCAAATGCCTCCTTTGGCCAAGAGTTGCCTGGCCTGAAATTAGCCCACCACTGTGCTGGCAGAGGAAAGCAGCGTGCCGCCACTTTCTCGCTCTCTTTACGCAGGCCCCTGCTCATAAGCTTCAATGTACAAAATCAGAACAAAACAAGTTTATTTTATTTTCTTTCATTCTTTTTAAAGGATGCTTTATTCCCTTCCCTAAAGTATTTCCTTTGCAGAAAAAAAAACAAAACCCAGCTTGAAGTAATTACCAGAAAAGTAATTGAGATCAAAGGAAATTGACAGGACAGCCAGCCCCCTTCCGCTCCCCCCCCCCCAGGATTAAGGGGAGCATAGTGAGGCAGATGGCATAAGACTCCAAGGAGGGAGGAGGACCAGGTAGTTTGGAACAAGGGGCAGCCGATTCTATTTAAGGTGCAATCAGATGGAGATACAGCTTGTGTTTGGGACAGCATGTGGCATGGTGCAGTAGGAGCTATTGTACGGTGATCAGAAGATGTACAGGAGACTGCAAACCAACCTGACCCACTTCTGTGCCCAATCTAGATCTTTTGGGTCCAGTGGCTACTTTTTTTTGGCACTGGGCTGGAGTGATTCCTGTATGCCCAGAAGGCTCACCGTAAGGTTGATTGCTCCCAGCGATGCAACCCTTTCCAGTACAATCAAGCACAATGATGTATCACCGTCTGACTACACTCTTAATTCCGCTTTCAAGCTGGAGCAGCTCTCCTTTCCTTCCTTTCCAGCACAACGCAAGAGAGACTGCTAGCAAGTGGGTAAGCAGAGACTCGGTTGCCTCAGTACCTCTTGCGACAAGAATGTGCTACTAGTTAAGGAACATTTGTGATGCAAAGTTTTGTAGACAGAGAAATCCTTTTTTTTCATCACTCACTGAGGGAAGTCATTGCTAACTCTGTAGCAATCCCTCCTAGAGACAGCTCTGAACTTGCCACCTTTCCCACTCCGGCATCGAAGTCATTGCTAACTCTGTAGCAATCCCTCTGAACTCGCCACCTTTCCCACTCCGGCATCAACAGGGCACCCAGCATTACTACAGAGCCTTTATGAAAGTCAGGGCTGAACATCACTGCTGCCCAGGCAGACTCTAAGAACAGAAACTCTTGAGAATCAGACAGGGCATGTTTTTTCAGGACGTGTGAGTGCTGGTTGCTACTGAGGGCAGGAGAAAGAGAGGGGATCGGACGATAACCCTTGCACCCACACCCACGTTTGAGTCTCAGCTTGATCTTTAATGCAAACTCTGCAAAACTGGGAAACAGTGTGAAAGGAAGCACTTCCCCCAATTTTTAAAGGATCTACTACAAAAAAAAGGAGACAAGAACAAAAGTTCCCAGAACAATGACTACATGTTCAGAAAAGTCACAGTGACCAAGAATTGAAGCTGCAGCAGTGTAAACAGTGCCTGCAAAACAACGAGAGGGCAGCACTGCTGGAAAAGTGTGCTAGCAGACATATCTGAGTTAAAGGCCATGCTACATGACACCCATCATCATCAGATCTGGGCTGCTCATGAAAAGCAAAGTACTTCTGGCTGCCAAGGTGACAGTGAGAAAAGGGAGGAATCAAATGCTTATATGGCACAGATGTATGACAAATACGTATATTGAAACCATATTAGAATTGGTACCCCATTTGGGTTAGGATGCAACACTTACACATGCCTGTAGTCTGATAAACTATTTATTCCAACCAAGGAGATGTTTCTGCTTATTCATATAGCAATCCTGTTAAGTAGACATCAAATGATTTTAAGATAGAACGAGGATTGAACATGACAGGTTTATATGATTTTATTAAAATTTTTAAGCTAAATGTGGTTTTATCTCTTTTCATTCTTTTAAACTTTGGTAAATCACTTTTGAATTGATGCTTTTGAATTGTGGTGCTGGAGGAGGCTCTTGAGAGTCCCCTGGACTGCAAGGAGAACAAACCTATCAATTCTAAAGGAAATCAACCCTGAGTGCTCACTGGAAGGACAGATCTTGAAGCTGAGGCTCCAATACTTTGGCCATCTCATGAGCAGAGAAGACTCCCTGCGAAAGACCCTGAAGACAAGAGGAGAAGGGGATGACAGAGAACAAGATGGTTGAACAGTGTCATCGAAGCTGCCAACATGAATTTGACCCAGCTCCGGGAGGCAGTGGAAGACAGGAGGGCCTGGCGTGCTCTGGTTCATGGGGTCATGATGAGTCAGACACGGCTTAACGACTAAACAACAACAACAAAGTCGCTTTGAGCACTATTGTTTGGTGGGAGGGCTAGGTACAAATGTATTAAATAAAATTAAATAATTGAATAACCTGCCCTAAATGTTGGTCTACATCCACAAACTGAGTTTGGCAGAGCCCATAAGATCCCCGTTGCATTTCCAAATCAAAACGTCATCAGAGATTATCTGGAATTGAATGACTCCTGATGTTTTAGAAGAGAGAACTGGGGCAAAAAATGAAATAAAAAATAAAAGAAGACAAAAATGTTGTGACACCTTAAAGACTAACTGCTGTATTTTAATGTGAGCTTTCATGGAACATGGTCCACTTTGTCAGACATAAGAGAGGATTCGAGCCTGAAGTTTTTTGTTTGTTAAAGAGCCATGCCTTTGGGTCACATGCTGCATACAACTATGCCTTATGAAAAGCTATTGAATGGAACAGAAATATTTTATACTATCAACAGATTCCAAAAGAAAAAATTCCCTATCACAAGCAGATGTAGCAGCTCTATGGGAAATATTATTTCTCTAACTAACTAAATAAGTAGTTATTTAAATACTAAATACTTAAAGTAGTACTAAATGACTAGACTTTGTCTAGGGGGGGTGGGATAAAAATCTAATAGATAAATAACTGCAAAGACTAGCAAGCAAAATTAGCATGCCAAAAAGATTCAACCTATTGCTTTCCCATTACAGTATACTCTTGGTATAATCTTCTCCAGTGTGACATCCTTGGCCCTTCTGGCTCTCAAATCTCTTAATCCCTCACGACTGTATTAGCTGTGGCTGATAGGAACAGTAGTCCTCAAGTAGCTGCCTAGAGTGGTCATATAGACCAGTTGGGCGGGGTATAAATCAAATAAATAAATAAATAAATAAAATGTTGAGGAAGGCTCTGCTAGTACAGCCACTGTGGGTTTTCCCCCCTCCCTTCTAAATGCGGTGGAGCAATGAAAGATGCAAGGCCCTATCCATGAACATGTCATTCTGCTGAATGTCTCGAGACAGTGGCTGAAGTCATAATCACTGCAGTGAGACTTTCCTTTAGGCAAATAGCTGCACGGTATTGTAAGACACATACTGCTCAGTAGGGCTTACTCCCAGAAGGCAGTGGGCTGAGGACTATGGCCTTAGTTTCCAGTTTCTACTAGACTGCTTGGAGTCAATGTCTTATTTCTGGTGATTCTGTTCTAAGACAGCCTTTATTTTAAAAACATCCATCCAGTTAACTAAGTGGAGAGAAGGTGTCATCCTTCTGCAAAAAGAAACAGGAGGGTTCAATCTGGAGGGGCAGGAGAATGAGCACCGAAGGACAGAGTTGCAGCAGAATACAAATGGTCACATGCTGAGGCAGTGTTGGTGGAAAAGACTAGGGGCTGCTCCCAGGGGAAAAAATATATATATATTCTTTGTTCTTGTAATGTAACCAGAGAAGATTTTAAGATCAAGCACTCAGGGAAGCGCAATCACATAGGGAAGCAGGATCATCCTGGTAAGAGTCACTTCTCTGGGTGTGATCTCCTTTAAAACGACCCTTCCATGCATGCACAATCTGGTCCGATTGCTCCAGCCCAGCTCGGGAGGGGGGGGGAGCGCGCCCCTGCTGATGAACCAAGTGACCCTTCCATGCATGCACAATCTGGTCCAATTGCTCCAGCCCAGCTCGGGGGAGCGGGGGGCGGGAAGTGCGCCCCTGCTGATGAACCAAAAAGATTTGGATGGGCACAGAACAGGTTTGAGCTAGTTCACGATTTTCGGTACCTCATACATGTGCCAGAAAACAGATTGAACCGTGCCAGAACTGCTTCAAAATGTGAGCTGTATCCCCATCTGATCGCACTCTGAGTGGGGTGGCGGCGGCTTTTGACAGCATGAGAAACATACCTGAACCCCAGTACATCTTTCTATCGCAGCCAATGTGCAGCACAACAAGTACCATGGAAGCCACAGAACTTCCCGCAACCCCGTGCCACCATCTTTGTCTCCAGACCAGCTAAGAGGCTGGCGTTGTGGCTACTGCCCCTCCAGATACTCCCTTCTCCAGGATTGCTTCCAAGAGAAAATTTTGCAGCTTGATTGCCAGGAAGGAGGGCTCAACACAGGGGTGACGATGGCGAAGAGAACAGAATATAACGGTGTGGCTTGCTTGGCTGCAGCTTCTTCTGTTACTTACCCAAAGGGACCAACCCCATGCAGTGGATCTGAACATGTAGGAGAACAACCCACTCCAGTCCTGGTTTACAAAGATTTCCCTCTCAAACAACAATTGTGGGGGGGAAAGCAGCGAGACAGAAGGTTGCAGGACTGGGACCGCAAAGGCCTAGGAGGGAAGGGTTCAGGTTGTGGGGGAAAAGTTTGGCAGATGGATTTGGTTCAAAATATTTTTTTTTAAAAAAAACTGCACAAACATTACAGTCCGTCATAAGTAAGTCTTTCTACTTCAGTGTATAAAAAAGTTGCTTCATTAGAAAAGAAATGGGCCAGACCCCCTGCCATCCATGAACTTAAGCTGCTTCTGCGTAGGAGAGAGGGCAAACACCTGGAAGTGCCTTGAATCCGAAGTGTGGATGACCCAGCTTCCCTTTCCTAGCAAATCTGCATGCCTTCAGGCTTCCCCCTGGTGGTCGTTTTCCATCATGATAAGTCTTTGGCACATTAAAAATCTCCTAGGATGACACCAGCTCAGGTGGATGAGCAGAAGTTTTGGGAGAAGGGGACAGACACACAGACTTGGCACAGAAAGAGGCAGTACCGGAGCAACCCCCAAAGTTCAGGCATTACCTCCCTCCTCCTGTGTCTCCCTTCTTGATCAAACTGAACGGAAGCAGAGGATGCTTGGCTGGGGTCTGGCAAGTAGCGTTGCCCACATGTAGCAGAAAGCAGGGCATGGGAAGTCCGCAGATAATTGAAGAAGAGGACTGCTCTTAAATAGGACAGAAGGGGAAAAAATAACTTTCAGGGCTTTAGGGGCCGCTCTCCAGTGTTACTTGTATTCATTAGTTCAAGGTGCAAAAGACATTAAACAAATGCAAGAGAAGGTGGCACCCTCTCCATCGCCAAGGCTCAGAAACAAATCAGTGGTACAGCCCCTCCATCCTGCTAAACAAACGATGCGTTGGGCTTGTCTGTGTTTTAACGTTGGAACACGTCCCCATTTCTTAAGATTGCTCTTCAGGCCTGAGGATGCCATGGCCTCCCTGAGTTCCGGTGGGGTTTGGCTAGTTGACAGGCAAGGCCATTTGCCCAGGGCTGGTGGCCAGTTGCCGGAGCAGGCTGCCTGAGATCAGTAGGCTTGACTGCTTAAGGACTTAAGCCAGCGGTTAGGTTAGGGCTGGGTGCCCTAGAATCAAAGGCTAGTTGCCCGTCATACATTTGAAACGGTTCTTGAAGTAGAATAAGCTCTGTTTGGTGTTCAGGCTGTTGTCGCTGGAGTTGGGGTAGCGGAATTTGGCGTATTGCTTCTCGCTCTCTGTCTTGAGCCATGGCAGTTTGATCTTGGAGGCGTGGTCCACCACCACGTTGGAGCAGGAGCCCACGTGCAGAATGCCCAGGCCGTCGATGAAGAACTCTGTGTTATTTTAAGGCAAGAAGGGGGGGGGGGAGAGGGAAGAATGGATCTTAGTCTGGAAAACCTCAAAAGTCCAGGCCAGTTGCCGGAGCAGGCTGCCTGAGATCAGTAGGCTTGACTGCTTAAGGACTTAAGCCAGCGGTTAGGTTAGGGCTGGGTGCCCTAGAATCAAAGGCTAGTTGCCCGTCATACATTTGAAACGGTTCTTGAAGTAGAATAAGCTCTGTTTGGTGTTCAGGCTGTTGTCGCTGGAGTTGGGGTAGCGGAATTTGGCGTATTGCTTCTCGCTCTCTGTCTTGAGCCATGGCAGTTTGATCTTGGAGGCGTGGTCCACCACCACGTTGGAGCAGGAGCCCACGTGCAGAATGCCCAGGCCGTCGATGAAGAACTCTGTTGTCGTTATTTTAAGGCAAGAAGGGAGGGGGGGGAGAATGGATCTTAGTCTGGAAAACCTCATAAGTCCTTGCATGTTTTCTAGTTTCACTGTGTTTGTTATTATTTGTCTCAGCACAATTTGTTAAAGAGTATCTATACAGCTATAGAAAACAAAACACCCATAAATCTCCATTAAGAACAATTTGTTAAAGAGTATCTATACAGCTACAGAAAACAAAACACCTATAAATCTCCATTAAGACAATAGTCATTATTCACCATTGCAGCTTAAAGCACTGGTGTTCAACCGTTCACTCTCTGGACCTTTGAGATCCCCAGAATCCCTGACTATTGGTCCTGCTGATTAAGACTTTTAAGAATTAAGGCCCAAAGGTAGAACATATTGGCTTAAAATGTTCAGAGGATCCTGACCAGATCACTCCGACTGTACTCTGTATAGATTTTGTTTGGGTATCTTGTAGGGAATTGAGAAGTGGCACTATCAGAAACAGACCAAGGCCAGGCCAGGCCAGGCTTGTTTCATCTGTCATGCCAGTCTCACTCACCAAGGTGTGCGACGCGGCTGAGACGAGGATCGAAGCCAACCTGGAGCACTTTCTCAGTGCGTGCCAGGAAGAAGTTGACCACACCATCCGTGACCACACAGTCAGGGAAGCCTTCAATGATATGGTGATAACCTTGGCGGGTTCGCAAGCAGTCCCCATCCTCATTGCCAGGTTGCACGCTGATCTGCTGCCGGTATGTGGTGGTGTAGCCCGTGATCTCCCGCACTGCTCCACCCACCTGTCAGACACAAAAGTTGACTTTTAGAAATGGGTGGAGAGGAAAAAAAATAAGGGCAGAGGGGCCAAAGTAGAGGGGGCTTGGGTGGGATGCTCAAGAAACTGTTTAGTCAAGAGAGGGGTGAACTGGATTTCTTTTTCCATATTCTGTTGTATCACTCTGAGGCAGGTGAAGCCTGAATTAGGAGTACAGCTCTGTGAGTGAGAATCAATCTACTTTTCTGGATGGAACATAGAACTAGAAACCACAGTTAAGGAACTAAGAACCTCATTCACCCTGAGTTAGATCTCTTCCTTCCTAGTTCTCTCTTCATGCCTCCAATCAGGTGTTTCTGTATCTCAGTATACCCTAGTTCTCTCTTCATGCCTCCAATCAGGCGTTTCTGTATCTCAGTATATTTTATTTATTTGTTTGTTTATTTGATTTATATACCACCCATCCGGCAGCCAAGGCCACTCTGGGTGGTTTACAACAAATAACAAAAATATACTATGTACAACAAATAACAAAAAACAACAGAGTAATATACTATGTATTCCAGTCCTTTGGCTCTATCCAAGCCTCCTCAACCCATATGGCTTTTGGGTTTCTACCTCACACCTCAGGGCTCCATTAGCAAGCTATCTTCTCATCTCTTGCTGGGGGATTTTAGTGCCACATTGTGCCATCATGTCCACACTTCACCCTGCCCCCCTGCCCCAGGTTTGGCTGAAGAGAGATCTTCTCGTATATTGGATGAAGGAAATGGTCCGATGTCAGGAAGGAAAAGGACTCACCAGATCCAAACTAGTTTTCTCAAGGACATCCACCAGCTTCTCCACTTTGGTGCGGGGTGTGAAAATGAAATCATCGTCTACCCACAGGACATATTTGGTGGTTACTTGGGAAATGGCCAGATTTCTGCCAGCAAACCATCCCTGGAAAGAAAGGGGGGGGATTTTGTAAATATTGCTAATACTTACTTAGCAATTCCCTTGCTAAGTAAGTATTGTCATCTGCTCATATTATTTTGTAATGACACACTGAATAATACCACATCATTAATACTTTGGCTCAATCACGAGACCCTGCACCTTTTCACTTGGCCCATGAATGCAAGTCTCTCCACTCATAATTTCCAGGAGGAAGAGCGGTAAATAGAGAGCCAGGGTAGTTCCTTACTGGGTCCAGGTCTGATTCACAGCTGCTGACCTTCCTACTGCTTCCTGCCAACTCTTCATGATGACCCTTCTCTTGAGTCTGGTGCTGTCTTAAGTTTTGTAGCCTTATTTTCAGGCACTTCTCTGCCTCAGTAAGTTGTACCATGGAAATAGGAGAGCATCCATGAATACCATATTCGATTCATCTATATGTTAAAAACCTAACCATGATTCTATACGTGCAGCAGGTAATGTGGATGACAATTGTTCATAAGAATACACTGAGAAAGTGGAGAAATTCCACTTTTTACTTATCTTGATGATTAATGTAGTAAAAGTTGAGGCAGGTGGGAAGGATGACTAAATTCTGATGACTTCTATTCATTCCCTATCAGGAGTAATGAATTACAGAAATAAGATTTCTGCCGACACAAGGGAGCAGGGGATTCTTCCTCCTCTTAGCAGGTTGCCATTAAAGCCTTTCTTCTCTCTTATCAGGAACCTGATCCCAAAGAACAAGCTCTTATCAGACCCTAAACACAGAGGCGAGGAACCTTTAGTCTTTTGGAGGTTTTTGAGTTCCATCTCCCGTCAGCCCTGGCCTGCATGGCTAATGGGCAGGAAAAATAGACATTATAGTCTAAAACACCATTTGGGGGAGTCAAGAGGTTCTCCACTGCTACCTTTCAAGATCATCTCACAGTGAACATTGCAGAGCATTTAGGAATGTGTGGCCTTGGCAGGCCTGAGGCCGTCTGATGGCAAGCCTTCGCTCACCTTGCCAAAGGGCATGAAGTACTGCTCAATGTGGGGGCCCTCCACACGTTCGGTGTCCAGGCTGTCATCAGCAATGATGATGGTCACGGTGGGGTAAAACTTGCGGATGCTGTCGATCAGGGCTCGCAGCTTGTCGTAGCGCAAGAAGGTCTTGGTTGCTATAGTGACCAGGGCACTGATATTGTATTCCTCTAGGGAAGAGAGAAAACAGGGCAAGTTAGTAGGACTTGGGCGCTTGAAGAAGAACCGGACGGGGCTTTAGGGAAAGGAGGTCACAGAGAGGGGTGGGGCAAGAAGAAATGTGTGGTCACCCCCATGTAAATCTTTTTTTCATTTAAACAGCTCCAGCACCAATTGATTTCAACTCGTTGAGGGGGTTTATATACCATTTACAGCATGGCTCCTGAGGAGGAAGCTCTTGACTTTCAAAAAGGACAGTGGACATGCCACCCTGCACTCTGGACAGGGAGTGACATAAGCAGGGAAGTCCACCATGACAGTTTACTGTAGTGCGGTGCTCAAATGAACCACTAGAGAGCGAGAGATGCCTTGGGAAACGTACACTGCGAAAAAGCCCATGGAACAAGCGCTCAGGCAACAGAACGGATGCCGTTGGTGGCAGGGGTTAAAGGTGCAGGTGGACTTTTTGTAAAAAGATTATGGAAGATTTCATTACCAGAAAATCTAACCTGTTAACACAAACCATCAAAAGAGACAGAGGGACAGTAAGTACCCTGTAGAAACTTGTCTCCACCATAATTTACACTTCAAGCATTATGATCATCTTTATGCCCGGAACTAGGGTGATAACCCTAAACTGTTTTCCTAGTATTATCACATGCAAATCTCCCATTTTATGTATTTTACTGGACAAATTGCTATTATTGTTTCCACTGTTCTTACAAAGCTAAACTTTTGAAAAAAGGCATGCCTGTGGAGAATTTCATTTTGAGTCTTCACCTCAGCTCTTCCAGAACTCAGCCCTGGAGTAAACATGAGTACTAAAGACATCTTTAAAGGTATGGAAAGCAAGGGTGAATAGGAAGACAACCTGCACATGCTCTGGAGCATTACTTCACCTTTTACCAGCCTTAGCCCAGGTACAGTTGAGGGGCTCCAAAGCCCAGCTCTCTTATCTATTTAGGGGTGCATGGCTTCTACCTGGTGCACTCACCTCCATTGGTCCCTCCACTGGAAGATCCTGGGTTGTAGAGTCTTGGGGTGGGCGCATGGCGGATGCGAATGATGAAAGACGCATGATGCTCATCGGTAGAAAACTGCACTGGAGAACAGAGGAAGAGGGAGAACACCAGTCTAGGGCTGCATTCACTTACATGAACCAGAAACCAATGGTACTGGGGTGGGTTCTGTCTCTAGGGAGGCAAATGACATCTCCCTGGCACTCATATGTTGTGAAGAACACAGAGAGAAGTGGGTCTGTGCACTCTTCTCTAAGTATGTTCACAGTACCAGGCAGTATAATGTCCAAATAGGACTGAGGTCTCCACAGTTTGTGCAAACTGTTTCTGTACAAATCTAACATCCTTAGAGAAGCAAAGCATGTGTGTACACACATGCCAGCACAAGGAGCAAACACAGAAAGGAGATCTGTTTGTTTTAAAAGGACAGACTACCTCTTTTAATTGTCTTTTCCATTTCCATGCAACAAAGCAGCAACCACTGTCATTTTCCGTACTGATACTGTTTGCACTAAAGCATCATTTTTGCTTGATAAGTGCAAAAAACCAAGTTTTTGTTCTCTGCTCTTGTCAAGGGTGCTACCAAGTATTTTGCCCTGGAGCACAGCAAGGAGAATAATCTCAGTTTCTCCTCCTCACATGCAAAGACAGCAGAAGAGAGGATTTGCATTGCTAACATAGACTGATGTGGTCTATGCTGGCAGTGACTGACAAGGGGTGCTAGTGTCATGCCGGATATGAGAATGCTAACATAGACTGATGTGGTCTATGCTGGAAGTGACTGACAAGGGGTGTTAGTGTCATGCCGGATATGATAATGCCAATTATGCAGCAGCTGGACAGGGGGAGAAAGGAGGATTAGAGACTAAAAATCAAACAGCCAGTATTGTAGTGCTTATTTTCAAATCTGTAGTGCCATCACATACAGAGTTGTGGTCACCACATCTCAAAAAGGATATTGTATAGCTGGAACACATGAAGGAGAGAGAAAAAAGACAACTAGCATAATCAAGGGCTTGGACCAACTCTTCTTATGAAGAAGGTTTATAATGCTCAGGGCTATTTGGTTTGATGAGAAAAGGTGAACAATGAAAAACACGATGGGGCATATGAAGTTATGATGGCCTGGAGAAAGATAATAGATACTATAATCTCGAAGGCTTTCATGGCCAGGCTTTGATGGCTGTTGTAGGCTTTTCAGGCTGTTTGGCCATGTTCTGGAGGTTTTTCTTCCTAATGTTTCACCAGTCTCTGTGGCCAGCATCTTCAGAGGACAGGAGTTAGAACTCTGTCTGTGTTCTGGTATAGTGTGTGGGATAGCTGAGTATTTGTAGCTGTGGGATCAGCTTTTTGTCCTTTTCAGGAGATTGGGCGCTTATGGTGATCAGGGTGTTTTTTTGTTATGGATGTATTGTTGTAATAAGGGGAGAGATGATCTGTCACTGTGGTTGATGGGTGTTGTTAGGTAGTCTTTTGTGTGCAGTGATCACCAGTTCTTGTGACTGGGTAGTTTGTTGACCTTTCTTGTGCAGTGATCACCGGTCCTTGTAGAGTTTGTTGACTTTTCTGCAGGAAGAAAAACCTCCAGAACACAGCCAAACAGCCCGAAAAACCTACAACAAACATAATAGATACTGTCTCATAATACTGTATCTCGAATGTGGAATTATCCAAGGAAGCCGAAGGGTGTAAAATTCAGAACAGGTAAGATGAGATGACATCTACACACATTGCACACTCACTCTTAAGATTTCAAGGTGTGTTGGTGACCATATACTTAGGTGTTATCCAGATGTAGTGTTTTATTCTGCCTTAAGAACAAAGTTTGAATATTGTTCTTCTCTAATTTTCAAATGACGTTCCTCTGCCTTTCATGCCTCTTTTGAAAGTTCCTTCAGCACTTCCCCCCTCAAAATCAAGGTCAGGAGAGTTTTTTGTATTGCTTGGTGCCGGGCCAAAGTTCAGCCCTAGGGTGCGTCCCAAGCATTAGGGAAGCAGTAAAATTAAAAAAAAAAACAAAAACAAATCGAGCACACACCAACTGAGCCACCTCTGGTCCTCCCACTGGGAGAATGGTGGCAAAGAAATGAAGCAAGCAAACATATAAATAAAAGGTAGCCAACCACGGGGATAGTTTGACAAGGAACAGTCTAAGAATTCGCTACCCTTTCACAATGACCTAAATCAGAGGTTGAAGGCAGGAGCCTTACTATGTTTAATAAGCCAGGTCACCCCTGTGTCCTGACGTCCTCCATGAGAACCTCCCACCGGCTCCTGATTGATCACTCTGGAGGCCAAATCAGATTTTGGGTTGATCCAGCACCACTCCCCTAATGTTGTTAAGAACATTCCCTGCCATCCTATCTCTTGGATTGTGCTCAAAGTGAATTTTAGGATGAGTATCCCCTTTATTCTCCTCAGAGAAGAAATAGTTCTATGGCTAAGGTCTCTGGCTGAGGCACCAAAGGTTGGGAGTTCAGTTCCTCTCTGTGCCTCCTTCACAGGAGCTGAGCGCCATGATCCAGAGGGTCCCTTCCAGCTCTGCAGTTCTAAGTGTTCTGATATTTTACATTTACCTTATGCGACCATGGCTGCAATGAAAGAGAGGCTGTGCTGAGTGGCATGTTTTCTCCCTTATTCTGGTGCTAGATGGAACAGGTACTTGAGGGGAGGGTGGGGTGGGAAAGGGTGGCTAAGAGGCAGCCGGTTGTTGTTGTTTTTTTTTTAAAGACTAGCTATAGCATCCGTCTCTCTCAGCAAGGGCTTTGCCAAGACAGGAGAGGTAAGTGACAGCTTTCCTGCTTTCAAGCACCTACAGAGAGGAAGCGGCAATCCCTTGCAGAGGCACCCCACAACAGCCTCATTCTCCTCTCAGGGCAAAGCCCTTGCCCAGAGACGGAGGGTCAGCAGCACTGTGCTGGCCTGTTACGGATGGCTCCCTCGAGGAGGGCCAAAGCCATCCGCAACACAGGAGCCCTTCTCTTCTCTTGCCAAGCATTTTTGCCAAATAAATGGGGACAAATCATGACATGGCAACAAGGTTTTGGTGTTGTTGTTTTTTACTTTTTCTATGAGAGTGGTGCCCTTTTCGACACCCCACACACACCCCAACACCATATTTTTGCCAAGGTCACAAATCATTCCACCTCTAAATTTATATTACTGTTTCAAACTATGCTGTCTGTTTCTCTGTCCACTGCAAGAACATCACTCAGTGAGGCCTCATCCTTCTAAACTGATATTTCTCTATTTGATGTTCTTCAGATGCACTGGACTACAAGACCCATCCTCCCCTGCCAGCATTCCCCATCCAATCCATCTGACAGGGTATCCAGTTGATACCCTGCCAGATGGATCTCAACAATCCACCAACTCTTGTGTATGTTTGTATGTGTGTGTGTTATCCAGAGATGAGTACGCACCACTTATGATAAATCCTGACTGTGGGAACCAGTAGAAATGGACTACTTTGAGCAGGCTTACTCAGAAGCAAATTATAGTGGCTTAAACAGGACCCCAATCCCTACAAGCTTTTGGTCCCGTGTAAAGGGAAATACTGCCTTCAAAAACACTTTGCTGGCTCTCTGGGCAGGTATTTCTGGCCTTCCAAGTCACCCTGAAAAGGCCTCATTGCTTTTGTCAACACTGCATTGTTTTGCCTCAAATTCTAGTGTCAAGTCAGCAAACCACTCACTCTGGAGCTCCTGAAAAAGCAGCTGGAACAGGCTGGCACAGGCCTTACCCATCAACACAGATTGTTTGCTCCCACACTTGCCATTCCAGAAGACGTCTGGATGCTGTCCAGCCAACTTACCAAGCAGACCTATATATTGGACCACAATCCCCATCATTACTTCTCATCAGGGAGCATCTTTGGCCAGGATAATGGGACCTGCAGTCCAACACAGTCTCACAGGCATCCAGGTCGAGGAAGGCTGCCCTGTCGCATTACGATGAAATGCCAGACTAAAGCTGTTTCTCCTTCTTAACAGTAGCTATCTGTTTACTTGAGTTTTTCTTCCTACTCTTTCACAAAATGAAAATAAAATATGTTTGTGTATGTGGCTGAACCAGCCTGGAAGCAGTGACTGTAATGCAATCAACCTGCATTCTTACTAGGATGGTGCCAGAAGCCTCTGGGAAGGCTTAACCAGTCATATTTGACTGGAAAAGAAAACACTTCACCCAAGTGAGGGAACTGGTGAAAAGAAAATTGAATTGAAAAGTCAAGAGAGGCCAGTATGAAAGAGGCACTCCTTTCTCCAAAACACCTTGGGGCTATTTGAGAGCACTTTAACAGAGGCTTGATGAAACCATGGGATAGAAAAGGGGAAGTGCCTCATCATGTAGCAGGATTGCTAATAATACCGAGCCTTAAAAGGAGGGGTAGCCCTGTTGCCTTATCTCTTCAGGCAGGCACTTGCTGCCACCGACCTCCCGTGATTAGGTCTACCCCAGTAGACCACCCTGGTCCTACCAGAGGGATCCCTTCCCTGCTTTACATTCGCGGCGGCAGCAGAACCAAAGGGGAGAAAAGGAGATACGAATGTGGTCAGAAGGAGCTGCCGCATCTCATGAGAAGGGAAGGAGGGATGGCAGAACCGCAGAGACTGGGACAGGTTGAGTGAGAAGAGCCACAGTAAGAGGACATGCCGCATCAAGCCAGCAACAACAAAAGCCAAACAGATGAGAAACAACGAGGCAGGCAAGAAGTGAAGTCAAGGACAGGGGCAAACACAACCTCATAAATGAGAAGGGACACATAGCCACAGCCGTCTTCCAGGCAGCCGTGGCAGGGGCCCTCTCAAGCGGGGGTGTGGGCAAGGAAGGAAGTGGCATCATTTGCTACTCCTTAAATGACTAAAGCAATGACTTTGCTCTGGTTAGTCAGTACAGGGCATAAAAGGAACTTGGCAAATTGACGGAGGGTAACACCACTGATGGAGGGTCTATTAGTCATGGTGGCTGGCTATTTATTACCACAAGTACTGGAGGAAGTATGCCTCAACACCCTCACAGGAAGTGTGGTGAAGACAGGGACAGACAGAGAGAGGGACTTCTTGCATGCTGGTCCAAACTACAGAATTCCCTGATGTGGGTGATCATGGAACAAAGGGAGGCTAATAGCCTGAGAGAAAGTATAAAGGAGTTGACAAGCAGATGTCTGAGCCAGCGGAGCCTCAAGGCAACGCCCTGAGAACTCTTTTTATTAACTCTGCACGATTACGTAGTATGTCGAGAAAATTCAGATAGGATACTAGTTACCTAATCGCCACTAGGATTAGCTAAAATCTCTTTGATCTTACATTCGACCTCTAAGCAAAAGGGCAGAATGAGGGGTTACCCTGCCCGCTGGCAGTTGCTGCTCTCTGCCAGGAGTGTGTGCACATCACTGGAACAGAATGTAGCTACAACCTTAGAGCAGATGTTTCCCACACTCTGCTGTCGTGAGTCATGGCAGCGGCTGCCACGCCACACCCACCTGTATCTGCTGTGTTGGGATGGAAAAGCGTGTTGGTATAGGTGACAAACTGCATTTGCCGATTGAGGTTATCCAGCTGGGATGCTGACAGGGTGAGATGCATTCTCCCTTCCCCTTCCACCTTGACACCTTCCACTTCTGCAGCCACATCAAAAGTGCCCATCGTAGCTGTCAGGTTGACCTGCCAGAGGAGGATAAAGAACAAATACCCAGGTTGGGGCCAGGTTTGAAATCCAATCAGCCAACTGGTTTCCTAAGAGGGGAAGAGCACTCCTTTGTTTTTTCTAGGTCACTCCAATCAGTACCCTTAACGAGACCTGAAATTTTATGTCAGGTAGGAATCAGATATTTCCAAATTTGTTTCCAGTATCAAAATGTAGCTTTACTACATCTATAAAAGCACCTTTTTGGCATAAGTTTGTTACAGTCGGCTTCCTCCTCCATCTATTCAGAGTTTCTGCGAGCAGAGTTGACTAGTTTTAAATGCCAGCGAGAGGCACCTCTGGTTCCTGGTGCCCCTTGAATGCTTCCAAGTTTATTTATTTAACCAAACATTTATACCCATGCCTTTCTGTCTCAAACAGCACTAAAAAAAAAAAAATCACACCTCAATACCAAAAGAAAAAAGACTTGCAGTAATACACAAACATAGACATATGTATCTGCACATGTGTGACATGCACACAGGTTCACTCGGATATAAAAGCACAGTGCCCCCAAATCGTTTATGGATTCATTGTTTCTGCTATTTATCTGAGATTCCCCAAAGAAACAGCACACTCACAAGCCTTTGGCTTTGCTTTTTTTATTTTCTGAAGAAACTGGGCCAGTTTATTTACTGAGTAAAAAGAATTAGATTAGAACTCTTTCTCCCCCCCCCACTCCCTGGCCTGCCATAGGTGGGAACTTCGAATGCTCTGCTCCCAGGCCAAGCTCCCTGTTATACCTGAAAAGTATACACAAAAGCCAGTAGACTAGACTGTTCTTTTCAACAGGCTCCTTTTTTTTTTGGATGTAGAAACTGTGGCAGAGCGGCAAAATCACATCTCATCACCACCTTCCATAATGAAAGGGACAGTAAGCCTCCCCCAGGTTAGTTTGCCAGCTGTGACAGAAAACATTGCCTGTAGCTCTGCCCCTCCCAGGCAGGACAAGTGGAGTGTAATAATAATAGTTCTGAAATCTACTATTCGCTGCCCTCCGAGGACCATCACAACCAGCTGCCTGAGGGGGCCCCACCAATCCAACCTCCCCCCTCCCAAGGCAAATGCTGCCAGCCCTCCACGACGGGGAGGGGGAGTTCTTGACTCCTGGGAGGAGCTTTCAAACGTGAAACCCAATCTGCACAACGGACACAGCGTCTGTTTTCCCAAGGCTAGGCAGGCACCAGAAATTAATCCAGCTGAGCATCAGTAAGTGTTCCTCGCTCTCAAACCTCACAGCTCCAGAGGCGTCTTACCCGGTACAAGGTTCTTTCAGTCGCCTGCAAGCTCAGGCCTAAGGAACAAGAAGTTACAGGAAGGTTAGTGAGGGCTCTTCACCTGTTTCTGGGCACCAGCCCAAGAAGTCTCCCCACACATCCCCCAAGCAAAAGGCACAGTCCCTCTGACCCCCCCCCCACACCCCAACCCAGCACCCCAACCACTTCCTTGGAAACTCAACAGGGGGTGGGAAACAAACAAACAAACAAACAAAACAACAACAACAACACCAAAACCCACAGACTCACCTGGGATGATAACAGGGGGTGGGAAACAAATAAATAAACAAAGAAAGAAAACAACAACAACAAGACTCACCTGGGATGAGAATAGTCTGGAGGGGACGAACCTCCACGCCCTGAGCCGGATATTCCAGTGGTGAATTGGCTCGGACTATAAGGAGCTGGTCGGCTGGGGACTGGGACCTAGGACAAGATCAAGGGACACCTTGCTTTGTAAAGCCATTCTTGCACTGTTAGGAGCGACATGCTCCAGAGCATGTGCAGTGACAGTGCAACCACCACCAATGCCCCCACAGGTCAAAACTGCACCTGCCAAACACCACCTTCCCAAGGCAGCTGGAGGCATCATGTGAACAAGCCAACTTGTCCATTACCTACAAACCTTCACTTTGTTTCTCAGAAAACAGGTGGCTAGCATCTCTGTCCTGAGAAGAATCTCTGGAAATTAACTCCCATAGAGATCACATCACTTCTACGAAGACTGTGTTGGACTGCAACTCTCCACAGCCAGCCCAAGCATGTCATCTACTCAGTCAAACAGAAGCTCCATTACCCACCAAAGACATGTACTCCATTTGAAATGTACTTAAGTTTTCAGCCTGACGTCACATCCCTCCACCACTGACACAGAAATGAATCCCACTGAGTTCAATGGGTCAAGAAAGAGGACAGACATTGAAGCTTCAGTGGCAGCTTCTCATTAAGAACATCAGACAGCCTGCATCAGATCATCCTGAAGGCTGACCAGCACAGCATTTAGTTCTCACATTGGCTAACCAGTTGCTTACAGAAAACCCCACAACGACAGCAGAGCAAGGCAACAGGTAGCCATCCTGACTACTGCAACCACTGAGCACCTTATTCTACATGAATTTCTCCAGTTTCCTTCTCACACATCCCAAGCAGCTGCCTATGACTATGCCTTCTGGCAGCAAATTCTACAGGGTCCATGGGGCTTTCTTTTCTCTGTCCCCATCATGCATCATTTTAGATACCGCTATCACATCTCCCTCCCACCCACCTTGCTAAAAAGCCCCATACACTACGTATAATGATTCGTCATAAGAGAGCTTTCCTTTCATCATTTTTGTTGCCCTTTTCTGCCCTTTTCCCAGTTCTATGGCAGCCTTCCCCAACCCAGCACCCTCCAGATGTTGGTGGACTGCAACTCTCTTCACTGCCAGTGGTGAGGAGTCATGGAAGTTGACATCCTGGAGGACTGCCAGGCTGAGGGCAGCTGCTCCATAATCTCATTTTTGAGGCACAAGGTGCTACTATTATATGTCACGTAATCATGCAATGTAAGGTAAAAGCATCAAGGGCCAGAATCCTACTGAAAAGCCCAATTAGATTAGAGTCATAGAATCAACGGGATTCACATTAAGTGCTTACTCATCATTCAATAGTTGAGCCAAGAGGTCTACTGTAGTTGGGACAAGCCATAGGACTGAGGCCAGGATTTATGGATTGGTGGTTTTTGTTTGTTTCTTTGATGTATTTGAAATCTTTAGATCATACTCTAGCTTAGGAGCTATTCTATATATTTTTGTCAGAATACAGATGGGACCACGACAGTCAGAAAAGAGTGCACAGACAGGCAAACTTTCTCTCTCATACTCCAAATAATTTCCAGTGATGCTTAAAGACCTCTGGAATTGTTCTACCTTTCCCTCCACCCATCCATGATCTATTTATTCACTTTGGATCCTTTCCAGAAGGAGCTGGCTAATATGACATGATGCCCATGGCCAAGTGAGTCAAGAATCACTGAGCATGTAAAAAGAATAATTTTCTGCATCCGTGGCCCCATTTTCATCCCTTGATTTTTCCAGGATAGAAAGCCTAATCTGGCAGCTGAGGTAGCCATTTTGCTACATGGGAGGATCAGTCTTACTAGGTTTTGGAAGAGATGGGGATCTGAAAACCACAATGTTCTCTGCAGGCTCTGACCGCAGCAGCCTTGTCGAGTGGGACCTGGGCGGGCACTGATCTGACTCATTGACCTCTGCAGCTCTGCCATTTCCCCATTCATTTTCACTCGGGCTAGGAAGAAGTCCCAGCACTTCACACCAAGGAGCTATGGCCTGAGACAGATAACAAACAGCTCCCCAGTGCATGGTTATTGCAACTTAAGGAGTATTACTTAGGGGTCATGCAAATACACTGCATGTAGAAAGTCACAGGTTTCAAGATTCATAGTCGAGAAGGGCTGAGAAAGATTCCTTCTAAAACCCTGGAGAGCTGCTATTAATTGATATAGTGCCGTGAACACTGTTGAACTAGAGAAGCCAAGAACCTTACTCTACTACCAGGCATTTACATCCCTCCTGAATCAGTCTCAATGCGCTGGCTTACTCACGAGGAAGAAGAGCTCTTGGAAAGACTGACACGAGCTGAACCACAAAAGGTCTTCGTGATACCCTCATGTGACTACCAAGCTAATCTTTTGGCATCTTCTTACAGGGAGATGATTTGTGCCAGATTGCAGAAAAATCATGGGGGGAACACTGGCACCTATGTGGCTGAAGTTACAATCATAAAAGCAGCAAATGCCTCCCCTTCTCCAAGGGCACTCAGAGAGATATCTACATCCACTCACAAAATCAACCCAAATGAACAGCATCTATCCCAGCAGCCTTTCTTCTTTGGGTCATTCTGGCTCTGTGACTTTAAAACACATGGTTCCCCCCCTATGCTGCTCCCCAATGGCGATGACACAACAGATCCAGTCATTGCAGGCCACCCCCTTCTCTACTGAACACGACACACTACATGTTTGCCCAATTTTCTTTTTGCAACAAGCCGAGGGAAACCTCTTGCCCTTTCGATGAGTCACAGCTGTCATCTATTCCTCTCTTTGCTTGGGACGGTTATTTGACCTGGCACTCTTCTGCACACACCCTTCCCCACCCTTCTCTCTCCAACATTATTCTAACACGTTTTAATTCTCTGTCTAACATTATTCTAACACGTTTTTACCAAGCTAAAACGTGTTAGAATAATGAATTACATGCAGAATACTAACATCTGTACTTGCGCGGCATGTACAAAGAATACACACAGCCACAGAACTCACCTTTGCCGATAACTTCGATACTCTTGTTCTCGTTGGCTGTTGATTTCTGGAAGTTCCGAAGGTCTGAAGGCATTTGCAAATTCCAGAGAGTAGACGTGACCAAAGAGCTGTTTCTGGAAGGGAAGGTTCATGCTCGGTTCCACCTGACATTTGCAAGAGTTCTTAGGAAGGAGTCTGTGAAAGGATGAGCACACGGTCAATAAAATGCAGTGGAGGATCTTTTCCAACTGTGACGTGCCCAATTTGTGGAGAGTGTGTCTACAGTATGGAGTTATAGCAGTTCAGTACTACATTAGGGACTGCGGCTCCAAATCATACAGAATCTAGGAAACTGCACATACTTTTCTGCTAGAGAGCTGTAGTGCCATGGTATCAAACTGATATAACTGTAGAGTGCAGACAAGACTTTGAATATGCAACAGCCTTTGCTGTACTACAAGATGCATTAGAAATGGCTACTATTCAGAGTATTAGGACAGCCACATAAACAAACTTGCTCAAGCAGGATTTCTGTTGCTCCATTGATTATGCAACTGCTTACACAACCAATCTCACAATCAGTACAAGATAAGTCATACAAAGAGGAGCCATAAAAAGTGTTTTTCCTCAACCGCATTATGAAAAACAATATTGCCTCATGGAGGTCTATTTCTAAGCAGGTCTAATGGAATATTTTCTCAAGTCATCTGCTACTGACACCACCAGCAGGATTCTGTCTCTAATTTAGATCACAGATGTATACACATGTGCACACATACAAGATATATACATAGATATATACATGTGTATACCGTAAATACAAGATGCACACCAGGGTCCATTTTCTTCAGTACCAGTGGGGCAAAAGGGAAGTTAAAACTCTGAAAAACTTTGGTGCAAAACTGAGCAGAAGGCGGATCTGAATTTCCTGGCAAATCTCAGAATGTTTTCTAGTACAGGAGGAAGGACTTCTGACTCCCAGTTGTTTAACAAAAGTATGATTGACTGCTCGTCTGTTTCCACATCCATTTCTGCTAGTTTTGACCTATAAAGCCCCAAATGAGATGGGCCCAAGCTACCTGAAAAAGCATATCTCCACATGAGCCTTTAAAACAGTGCTTAGGAAACAGGGCTAAATTACCCCAAATGGGGTAAAAATGAAAATCCTGGGGGTAATGAGGATGCAACCCTAATCCCCTTCCCTCCTCCTCCTCCTCTTCCTCCTCCTCCTCTGCCCAGAGGGGGGTCCCAGGCTGCCCGATCACTCCCTTCCCACCCCCTTCTCTGGCCCAGCTGCAACCGAGCCATGGCAGATGGCGACTAGCAATGGTCCCCGGGCAGCATTGTGGGGCAGCCAAAACGGCAGTGACAGGGCTGGCCATGGTGGAGGGTGAGGCCAGGGCAAGTGGCCGGAGTGCCCCGGCCAGGAGGAGCCTCTCCTTCCAGCGCCTGGAGAGATGGTTCGAACACAGACAGAGTTCTAACTCCTGTCCTCCAAAGATGCCGGCCACAGAGACTGCAGAAATGTTAGGAAGAAAAAACTCCTGAACACAGCCGAACAGCCCAAAAAACCTACAATAGCCATAGGATCCCAGCCGTGAAAGCCTTCGAGAATACATTTTAAATGTTGTTTTTTAATACTGTAAGTTGTCTTGTGTCCTTTGAGAAGAAATATAATAATAATCATATACTATCAAATTAATTCTGACTTATGGCAAACCTTTTCAGGGTTTTCTAGGTAGGCAAAAGTGGTTTACCAGCCCCTTCTTCTGGTGAGATTTCCTGGGACTGTGCAGCTTGCCCAAGGCCACGCAGGCTGGTTCTACTCACAAGAGGCACAGTGGGGGAATTGAACTCCCAACCTCTGGCTCCACAGCCAGATACCTAAACCACCGAGGTATCCAGCCAAGAGAAAGGTGGAATATAAATCTTTTAAATAAATACAATAAAATGACCACCACACACAGCCTTCTCTAACTTGCTCTTCTACAATGAAGAAGAATAAGGTAACTAGGAGTGAATTTTTGGATGGCGGGATTGTGAACTGCATTTAGTTTGCGTACGCAGAACAAATCCTTGAGTGCAGAACAAATCCTTCATTCTAAGGACAGTTCTTTTCTGTGAGGTGTCTGCCGAGGGATCTCAAATTTAATAAAAGAACCAAGTACTGTAGATTCTTTATTCTTAAATAAATTCTAGAGCCCTGGAGTTTGCATAGCCCTGCTCTGTTGTTATGTGATATAACTTCTAGCTTCTGGTGAATGAATGAGTATTTTTTTTAAAGTATGTGAGACGTTTAAGGAGTTGTGTACTATAGCCCCTTCCCCCCAATGGGTTTCCATGGCTGAGCAAGAATTTGGACCCAGGTTTCCTAAATGCTAGTCTTAGTGTGCTCGTACCACTTTTAAAAATCGCATGCATTATTTCCCCAAAGACACAACAGAAGCAATGATTAAGCAGTGATTAGTACCAAGAACCCAGGGATTATCCCCGCCATACAGGACCAGGAGTCAGTAAATATAGGAATTAGGCCCTTACTCCACAATCTCTTCCTTGATCCGGAAAGCAATGTGTGCATATTTCTTGTCAGGCACCAGCAGGCGGTCGTTCAACAGTTGTTCCGGCACCCAGTCAGCCCGATGTCTCAGGTCCACAGTAGTGTAGGGCTTTGGCGACCACACATGAAGATAGAGAAATGCCAAGGAGGCCGTCAGCACCATCAGCGCACACAAGGACTTCTGGACAGGACGCATCCTGGGAGAAGGATGAGGGGGCAGAAAGGAGAGGGGGAAAGGGGTGAGCAGAAAGAGAAAGGAGGAGAGAAAGAAAGAAAGGGAGGGTTAGAAAGACAATAGGGTTCAGGATGGCACAGGAAAACAAAAGAGTTCTCAGTACTACTCCAATAGGAGTCAATCTATGAGTGTCAATCCACATTTGACTCATCCTGGACGCAACATTTCTCCCCACCTCCTCATCTTACTCACCTTTCCTTGGAAGCAATGAGTTACAAGTAACACTGTTACCCACAGGCTTTTTTGCGCCCAAGGCAAGACTAACTGCTTGCACCCCTCTCAAGTAAGGTCTGTGCCCCTCTCAGGTTTGCGCTCTAGGTGGTCGCCCAGTTCACCTAGTGGTAGCTCCGGCCCTGCCCACTCCTTATTGCTTTTGTTTTTCTTAAAGAGATCACAATCAAGCCACACTTCTAAAGCGAAGCAGTGAGCAGGAACAACATTATAAATGGAGGCAGGGCATCTTTTGGTGCAACTACTTATGTTTTATTATTACTCTTCAGGGCAACTTGGGGCGGGACTGATGTGTTCTAATTACTGTACTTTTAAAGGCCATTTTAAAGGAGATTTGAGCAGACATTTTCAAGTTACAAGAAACACGAAGAGCCACTCATTTTTTAAAAAAGTTGGGATGGGGGGTGTTCAGCAGGTGATATAAGGAATTGTTTTTTCGAAGTAACTCTACAAACTGCATGAATCTCATCTAATTAGGTAACTGCCCAAATCTACCTCAACTTTTATAGCTTCTTTGCCTAAAGAAGTGTTCTGGAAAACATAAAAGCTCTCCTTACCTGGGACAGCTGAGTAACCCAATAAACATGGCCTCCATTCGTCATGAGCAACGGAGTGTAACTTGGCAGGAGGAAACCAAGGCTTTGTCCTGGCTAGAAGGTTGGATGCTTGAGGAGATCTGGGCTCAACCCAAACGGGAACTCCATCCCCCCCAGCCAGCTCTGCTCTCCCAAAGAGTCATCTAACTGAGTGGTTCCCAACCTTGGGTAGCCCAGGTGTTCTTGGACTGCAATTCCCAGAAGCCTTCACTGCCAGCTGTGCTGGCTGGGGTTTCTGGGAGCTGCCGTCCAAGAACCCCTGGGGTACCCAAAGTTGGAACTACTGCTCTAACCCACAGTCATTTTACCTCACCTCTCAGCTTTTTTCAGCCCAACTGAAACTTTAGGAACTGATGCCCGAGCTTTCTTTTCCCCCCACTCCTTTTCCCCCTTCTCCTCCTCCATCTGTCATGCCTTTCAGTTTGTAACCCTGAAGGCAGGGACCCTCAGATGGCACCAGCCTGCACCAGAAGGGCAAGTGCAGTCACACCCTATCACCCTATTGTGTGTGTGTGTGTGTGTGTGTGTGTGTGTGTGTGTGAGAGAGAGAGAGAGAGAGAGAGAGAGAGATTCTGGAAGACTGGATTCTTCTCATATAGCATTATTTAAGACTTCTCTCCCTTTAATTTTGGTCTACCCTCAGCCTTCCCTGGCTGAGTAGACTATGTCTAGATGGGCAGCTTATAAGTGCAATCAATCAATCAATCAATCAATCAGTCAGTCAGTCAGTCAGTCGATCTTTCTGAGGACAGGAAAATTTTGTTTTCTTCATCATCCCAAATATACTGTCTGGCACCATCCACTGCTACTTAATCTTTCAAAAGCTAATGAGCAGATTTAATTAACCTCACCCATCCACCCAGTTTTAAGGTGGGGACTGCATTGCCATCCCATGGCTCCACATCAAAATGGACCATTTGCTTGGTGTCATTGTAACAATACCCTTTCCCCACCTTAGGAACAGCAGAGCTGCCTTTCACCATGTCAGACATTTTGCCTATCTACCCCTCCGTTGTCTCTTCTGGCAACCGTGCTTCAAGATCTCATCAGATCAAGAGCCTTTCCTGTTATATACCGTGCAATCGTTTTCCTGTGGAAGGCACTTAATACTTAAAATGGAAGAGACCAGACTGGAGACACTCAAAAGGCATATTCTACCACCTGAGCTGTGGCTCCTCAGCCCTTCCTTCCTACCTCATACTGGTGTAGCAAGCTCTGCTCCCTTTCCTTTCAGGCCAGCTTTCCCCCCACCTCTTTGTTCTTGATACTGCTGCTGTCAAGGTGAGTGAGTCATGAAGGAAAACAACCTCCTGCTGCATCAACTACAAAGCTGGATGGATTAACAGATTGGCATGCTAGATGCTGGTGAAAGGAGAAGTTTGTTTTAGCCTGTAGTATGATGAAAGACAAGCATTGCAGGCTACACTGCAATGCACTGAATGACACAGAGTAAACATATTTACAACGCACATCAATTTTTCAGGTAGGAGAATCAATTCCTCTCTCCTCACCCCCACAGTATCTTTCAGCCCTAGGATATGTAGCATATACAACTCTACACCACTGACTGTGGTGGGCAGCTGCTGATGACCTGGAGAACATTGTCACCTTGATCACCATAATCACCCAATCTCCTGAAAAGGACAAAAAGCTGACCCCACAGCTACAAATACTCAACTATCCCACACACTGCATCAGAACACAGTTCTGACTCCAGTCCTCTGAAGATGCCAGCCACAGAGACTGGTGAAATGTTAGAAAAACCTCCAGAACATGGCCAAACAGCCTGAAAAACTACAACAACCATTGGATCCTGGCCATGAAAGCCTTCGAGAATACATTGTCATATTCCTTCAGATTTTTGTGGCCATTCTCCTCCCCCCAAAAAGTGAGGGGGGATGATTTGGGAATGAAAGAATAGGCAATGGGACATCTAGAAGTCTAGGGGAAGGGGGACTTGTCACTGAAATGCTATGTGATGACAGCTGAATGAAGACATCATGAATGTTCCTCTGACCTCACACATACCATGTTTCCCTGAAAATAAGACTGGGTATTACATTAATTTTTGCTCCAAAGCATGCATTAGGGCTTATTTTCAAGGGATGTTTTATTTTTTTCATGTACAACAATCTACATTTATTCAAATAAAGTCATGTCATCTTTTGGTTGCTGCACAATGGTGGAAGGTGGGATTTCACTTAGCTGGGGCTAAGTTTTGGGGTAGCGCTTATATTATAAGCATCCTGAAAAATCATACTAGGGCTTGTTTTCAGGTTAGGTCTTATTTTTGGGGAAAACAGGGTATATAATCTCCTGGCAAAAGTAGTTTCCAGCACCAAAGCCGTTGCCCCAAGAACAGAGTCAAAGCAATGCCACAAACTATAGAGATCTACAGGTCTAAAGATATCTGATGGAGTAGAAAACCTGGCTGTCACATTCTCGGGGGATTCAGCAGGTGAAAGTCCGATAAGCTAGTCCAAGGTCAAAAGTCCAGGATATCAAAACAGATGTTGAATAATCAAAACCGAAACACAAACCGTAGTCTGAGCCAGGGGTCAGGAGAGGAAGGTTCAGGATAAACAGAAGTGTGGCATCAAAACCAAAACACAAACTGTAGTCCGAGCCAGGGGTCAGGAGAGGAACGTTCAGGATAAACAGGAGTGTGGACGCAAGCCAGGGAATTTCCAGACCTCCGAGTAAAATTTATATAGAAGTAACAATCATCTCATTCCTAGAAACATCCTGCTAAAAATCTGGGCTGGTTGACCTGATGTTCCTATGAGAAGCATGCATGTGAGCTTCAGATCTCTGTGAGATCTGAAGTTCACATGTGAGCTAAGTCTCTGCCGAAGCTTATCTCTAACTTGACTAGTGGGGAGGAGAATCTGGAGGGGATTCAGCTGTCTGTGATGCCAGAGGAGCCCTCCCCTTCCATTAATTGCTCTGCATTTCCCTCAGCTGTAATTAACTCCTCCGATTCCAGGTCTTCTTCAGCTGAACTCATGACAGGGACAATCAAATGGTGCAAGGAATTTCCCTGGCTTGCTATACTGTTGACAAGGGTCAGAAGTGTACAGCCCTCCAGAAGATGTTGGACTGCAATCCCAACATTCCACACCAGGATGGGGTTGATGGGAGCTGCAGGCCAGTGGTATATGGACAGCTATACTCTTCCTACTCCTTCTTTAAAAGCAAGAGGATGAGCAAATAGCAATTAAATGCAATGAAGTGAGAGGAGAAAGACGTAGAGGAACTGAGTGTTAGGAAGCCAAGGAGAGATGTGGGCAACTTCTAAAAAAACCACAGCTACGTCTAAAAACATAATGGTGTTGAAACCTTGTTCTAGATGCTCCCTCCTTCACCCTTGTACAGCTACCAAAGTGCAGCTAGGACTATGAGAGAGACTCGGCACTAAAGCTTTATTTGGCCATTTCCTTTTGACAGGATTGTTGTTGTTTAGTCGTTTACTCGTGTCTGACTCTTCGTGACCCCATGGACCAGAGCACGCCAGGCCCTCCTCTCTTCGCACTGCCTCCCGGAGTTGGGTCAAAGTCCTAACTGGTTGCTTCGATGACACTGTCAGGATTAAGAGTGTGTTAAGAGTGATGGACCTGTATTCAGTTTGCCCAACTGTTTACTGCCTGCCGGAGTTGGGTCAAAGTCATAATTGGTTGCTTTGATGACACTGTCAGGATGAAGAGTGTGTTAAGAGTGATGTACCTGCATTCAGTTTGTCCAACTGTTCGTGAGAAACTTAGGAAGAAGTTATCTGATGATTATATACAAAGAACAGGAAGCTGGCCCTGCTGTGGTGGGCCTCCTTCCCCAACCATATTACTCAAGTGGTTTTGACCAGGATTGCTGGGCTGGTGGGAACCTTTTAACCTAAAATTAACCCAAGATGGCCATTTCCTTCTCGAGGTTGCTGCAGTGGAATCAGAACTTTAACCTCTTCTTATGAATCCTGATGGAGATGGCTGTGAATAGCAGCTCGTAAAGAGCAGCTTGTTTCCCCATGGCCAGCTCAAGATGATGGGCAGCAAGGAAAAGCGGTCAGGGTGGAAGGGGCGTCCATAGCAATATCATGCGTTATTCTTGCAGCCACCTTTTCCCCACTCGAGAGGCAGAGAAC